TTGTTTTCAGTTTCTGGCTATTATAAATATAGCCTCAATGAACATAGTTTAAAACGTGTCCTTGTGGTGGAATGGATTATCCTTTGTGTATATGACCAAGGGTGGTATAGTGGTCTTGAAGTAGATTGACCTTTAATTATCTGAGGAACTGCTGTATTGATCTGCATAGTGGCTGTACAAGTTTGCACTCCCACCAGCAGAGGAGGAGTGTTCCCCTGGCTCTGCATCCTCTCAGGCGTACCTGTCACTTGCGTTACTGATCTGAGCCATTCTGGACAGGTGTAAGATAGGAACTCAGTCATTTTGATTTACATTTCCCTAATGGCTAAGGATGGCGAACATTTCTTTAAGTGTCTCTTGGCCATTTGAGGTCGCTCTATTAAGAATTCTGTTTAGATCTGCACCCTATTTTTAAATTGGAGTTTAAAATATATCTAGTTCTTCGAGTTCTTTATAAATTTTGGATATTACACCTCTATCAGATTTGAAGTTGGTTTTAAAAAAGCCATTTTGTAGGCTGCCCTTTTGTCTGATTGATGATATTCTTTACCTTACAAAAGATTTTAATTTTTAATCTTCTTTTTCCAATATAGTATTTTTATTAATTATTTGGGAATTTCATACATTTCACCCTTACCATACTCATCTCCCCCCTCCCACACCCCCAGGTCTACCCTCCTACTCTTGTGTCTTCTCCTGAAAAAGAAGTAAAAAAAAATCACACTAACTCCGATTTGTGATGCCATTGTTCACCCTGGAGCATGGTCGAACTCCCAGTGGCCAGCCCTTTAGAGATGATTGAGTCCTTCCCACCCCCACCCTGAAGCCATCAGCTGTGAAGAGCTAACTTCACATCTGTAGCACAGTTTTCAAAGACTCTGCAATGGCTTCCTGTCTGGACCGTTTCTTTCTTTTGGTGGTGGTGGTGGTGGTGGTGGTGGTGTGTGGGTGGTGTCACAGAAACCTTCAGTGTTTCTAATTCTCAAGTATGAGTCTGCAGCTATCAATTACACTGCAGAAGAAACTTCCTTTCCCATAACAGACCATGGCAGCATGGACCATGGACTTGCACCACGGACATCGGCATTGCCTCTGGCGGCTGCAGCACGGACCACGGACACTAACACAGACCCTGGCTGTAGCCAAGATCGCCGACACCATCATGGCCTTTGGCAGTGCCGTGAACCACGAAGGTCTTTTGAGGAGCCCTATCTCGGACCGACGTCCTGCTCGTATTCAGAGCCAGGGCAATGGTGTGCCCGCCAGGATCGCAGGTTCCGAGGCAGAGCCTGTGAGAGCTCCAGGCCCCTGCAAACACCCGCCTGCCATACTGTATCTATTACAACATGCTCCCGACCCGTCACCTCCTTTGCCAACAGCAGCGGCTCTTGTTCTGCCTCTCTCCACAGGAATTCTGCCATCCTTTTCACCTCTCCATGACACTTTTGTTCGTCAAGGTGGCCTTGCAAACTCCCCTGTGCCACAGAGTATCTTACTTTTTATTTTTTGCCCAAACAGTTTTACATGCAAATAGTTATTGCAACAAGTCACTGGTCTTGTTCGAAGTTTCTGGTTTCTGAAGCACTATACATACTAGACTATCACTGAGACTCCTCTTGGATAGAAAGTAAGTACAATAACCATATATAATACATACAGGCAGTAAGTACATCAACATTATCTGGTCCATTTACATTAGACAAATTCAGAGAAAATACTCTATCTTACCTTGGTGAGTCCAAAATCTTATACCTAATTTACTTTCTATCCTAACTTGCATCACCAACCCAAACTATCTTTTTCTGTCTTTAAAACAGTATACAATTTACACATATTTCGTGAGTTTCTTCTCTGAACTTGTTAACAAGAAGACCTATATCTTTCTAGTCTTCAGTTCTACCAGAGCCCGAGAAGGAAATAGTATTAACCGAGTAAGCAGGAAGTACAAGCAAGCGACTTCCAAAAAGTGGAACATTGGGGCATCTATCTTCAGCTTGCAGGCCTAGAATATTCGACAGACTTTGCTATGAAGCAGGATTTCTGAAGGCCTGTCCTGCCTCGTCTTGACAAGGTTTTGTAGTCACTCTCTCTTGTGTCCGGCTTGTCAGCTTGTCCAATTTTTACAGCATACTGTCAGCAAGAGCACTTTCTTTCCCAGTGGCTTCCTTCAGCCACCGAGAAAGTGAACTCCATGTGGAGTTTCTTCGATGCCCACCATCTTCTCTGAAGTAGATTGGTGCTGCCAGGAGCAGACCTGTCTCATTGTTATAAAGAAAAATCCTACGTTATTAAAACATCTTAAATGCCATACTCTGTAGATCTCTGAAATATTTGAAGACGACTTATCTACTTAAAATATATCTGTTTGACCTTGTAAACATACTTAATATGGCTACAAGTTCAATTATAACAGGTGACTAATTACTAGCCTGCATTTCCTTATTATCCTAAACAGTTGGTAATAATAACATTCAAGAACTAGAAATTTGCATTACCTTGTTAGATGAGCTGTCTGAGTACAATATCTTGAACAAGTGTAGCAATGTATATAGAGTATGTTCTAACAAAATTAATCTCAAATTTGTATCAATATACAAAATTTGTATACAATATACAAAATCCAATCTAATGTAAAATATTTCAAACTAGTAGTTGCTGTTTTAAAAGTAGATTCAATAAGCTACCTTTTTATCTTACCATATTTATATCCTCTCTTTTTTCTTTTCAGAGTAGATTAAATAATCTTCCCTTTTATCCTATCATATCTGTATCCCCCTTTTCCTATTCAAAACAAGAACCCTGAATCTAACCTCCATTACCAATAACAACTTGTAACCAATCCCCCTAAACAATGACAGATATCCATAACCCATTGAATGACTAAGAACCATCCAACTCTTGGGAATGTGGGCATCAGTACGTCTGGTTTTATGTTGAGGTCTTTGGTCCACTTAGACTTGAGTTTTGTACATGGTGAAAAATAAAGATGCATTTGCCTTTTTCTACATGCCAACATCCAGGTTGACCATTGTTGATGATGCTTTCTTTTCCCCGGTGTGTATTTCTGTCTTCTTCATAAAAACTCAGGTGTCCAGAGGAGTGTGGATTTATGCATAGGTCATAGATTATATTATATTGATCAACCCCTCTGTTTCATGACAATACCCTGCTGTTTTTGTTACTATAGGTCTGCAGTAGAGCTTGAAGTCAGGGATGCTGATACCTCTGGCAGTTCTTTCATTGTTCAGGATTATTTTAGCTATCCGGGGGGTTTTGCTTTTCCAGATGAAGTTGAAACTTGTCCTTTCAAGGTCTGTAAAGAATTGTGTTGGGATTTTGATGGGGATTGCATTTAACCTGTTGATTGCTTTTGGTAGGATGGCCATTTTTACTATGCTATTCCTGCAGATCCATGAGCATGGGAGATCTTTCCATATCTTCTGATACCTTCTCTAATCTCTTTCTTCAAAGACTCAAAGTTTTTATCATATGAGCCTTTCAGTTGCTTGGTTAGAATTATCTCAAGATGTTTTATATTATTTGAGGGTCTTGTGAAGGGTGTTGTTTCTCCGATTTATTTCTTTACTTGGTTCATTTGACCTCAGGAGTTTAAGGAAAAAGTTTCTAGTGAGCACAGTGAAGATGAAGACATATTGACATAAAAAACTAAGGGAGAGCCAAGGTATTTTTGGGTAAGAGAAGTTTGGCCTTGTCCTCACCCTTGACCCCATGGATAGTCATTTCTTAGGACCTTCAGACATCAGCTCTGATGACGTTCCTCTCATGAAGTCTGTACACATTTGGCCATGATTGACTCATGATGCTCAATATGACACAAATGCCATAGACCTGGTGCTTTAGGGGATTCTGACAGTGTCAGTCCATGTTGGTTGGTGTCTTTTGACTTTTTTTTTTTAAATCATAGGGTCTCACTCTATCATTAAAGTCCTGGCTGACCTTGAGCTCCAGAGGAGGTCCACCTGTTTCTGTCTCCCAAGTGCTAGAACTACAGACAGGATCATCACACTGGTTTTGTTTTGTTTTGGGGAGGTTTATTTATTTGTTTTTGAGTCGCTGTCTTACTATGTGTCCCTGGCTTCCCTCAAACTCTCTATGTAGATGTCCTTATGTGTTTGGCACAGATGCAATTTAAAAATATTTTACATATAAAGCTGGTTGAATTTGCAGATTCTAGAACCTACTGATATGATGAACCAAGAACTCATGACCTTATGAAAAATGGAGACTGTTGATGGACAGGCCATTAATGTGGATGGTGTCAAATGGTTTTGAACAAAACAACAAGAACAACCATAACCAAAGACCTTAAAAGAACCCAAGGCATTATCAGAGGAGCTCATCACCATGTAACTTAGATTGCAAGCTGAATTTGAACAGAAGGGTTATTATCCATTTATAAAGGAGAACATACCCATTTCTTTATTATTTTTTAAAAACATATTCAATATAGCATATATACTTATGTGAATGGCAGCTTTGCCTACAGTTATGCCTGTACCCTATGTGCATATCTGGTGTCTGTGGGGGCCAGAAGAATGCATAGGGTGCCCTGGACCTGGAGTTACAGACCGCCGTGAGCTACTGTGTAGGTGCTAGGAATCAAGACCAAGTCATCTGCAGGAGCAGCTAGTGTTCTTGGCGGCTGAGCCCTTAGCTACCTGCTGTGTCTTTCCATGGTCTTTAGTTGTCATGCAGTTGTTACCATCGTCAGGAGGAAGAGCACACTCGTGAGAACTTTAAACCCTCCTTTGATCTTTGGGTTTTGAATTCACACCCTGTAGAACAGAAGTTCCATCCCCCATCATTTCCGCCTTTTTTGAGAGTTTCATTCATTTCTGTCTCATCTTTGAACTGAATTCCACATTTCAAAATGTACTGTACTTGACAAAGAACAATACACCCAGAAAAGGGACATCCTGAACCCTCATAGCTAGAGACTTCTAGCTAACTGTTATTTCTTGCAGCCTCCAGCCCTCTGACGTGGGAGGTGTGTGGGAAGAGCAGCCTGTCGGGAGCCACTGTAGGTGAAAGGCAAGAAGAAGAGATGGACTATTATGGGCCTTCATGGGGGTCATGCTGGGCTTTACAGAAGCCGAAGGGCCAAAGATGGCCAAGCCTGATTACAATTCTGCTTTCGTGTCCATGGCTTGAAGGTGAGGGTATTAAACATATTTTAAAATGTGTGTTTGTATGTGTGTGTGTGGTATGCATGTGTGCGTTCCTGTGTGTGTGCACTCATGTGTACGTGTGTGTAATTGCATTAAGTGTGTATGTGTATGTATGCGTGTGCTCCTGAGTGCAGGGTGTACATGTGTGTGTGTGGTTGCATTGGATGTGTATATGTGTGTGGTCCTGAGTGTAGGTGTGTATATGTGTGTGTGGTTACATTGGGTGTGTATGTGTATGTGTATGTGTGTGTGTGCGCGCGCTCCTGAGTGCAGGTGTGTACATGTGTGTGTGGTTGCATTGGGTGTGCATGTGTTTATGTGTACATATGTGTGTGCATGTGTGTGTATGTACGTGCATGTGGCAGGGAAGGGTATGTGTGAACCCAAGGCCAAAGTCAGGCATCTCTGTCTCTCTCCCGGCAAACCCTCACTGAGCTCAGAGAACTTACTCTTTCAGCTAGTCCTGCTAGCTGGCTTGCTCCTGGGATCCTGTGAGCGCATCTCGCACCCCGAGATTATAGTTGGCCGCTACGCCCACCCCACATTTCCCTGGGTGCCGAGGACCTGACCTCTGGTCCCTGCACTTATTAGCAAACACTCCGCCCACTGTCATTTACCCGGCCTCGAGATTGTTAAAATTAAGGATGTATAAAGGGCCTAGTTTTTTTTTTTTTTTTTTTTTTGTGGTATGAATCTCTTCTAGAAAACAAGGCACAGTAGCAAAGAAGGTTAATAGCACAGGCTTTAGGGTGTGTTTCTCTCCTTCCTGGGGTCTGGAGCTTTGTCCTGTAGCATTAGTAATATGGCTCTGGCCAGCCACAGCACATCTCCTAAACCTGTTATAATCTGGAAACACCCGCAGTTGCACAGACCTCCCACACGGGGCGCGCGTTCGGAGGTCCGCAGTCACGCAAGTCTATTGGTTTCTGATCACCCATTCTGTCTGCCGCTTTATCAGACAGGGTGGCACGGGCTGAGCCAAGCCGACCCGGCTCAGCCTTGGAGAGCCCTGATCGTGTTATCCTTAGAAATCAAATTTGGTCTCACAGGCATAGACCGCTACTGCCGAGATTTATCAGCCTTATCATTTCATCGCTTCAGATGACCCGGTGGGATTTTATTTCTCACTTTAGCAAAAAATGAGAGAACAATGCCTTCCGAGTTCCCTCTGCACAAATGAAAGAAAACAGGCGGGTATGAGCGGGGGAATGAGCGGGGCATTGCTCTGGAGCCGTTCGGGCCTTTTTGTTGGATTTCCTTGTGTTTGCCTGTCCATGTGTGAAGAGGACATAATTAGACCTGCTCCTTATTGGCCTCAGAGGAACGTTGCAGAAATCCATTTCGAGAGCCTGTGAAGTCCTCAGAGCACGGAGAAGTCTAATTACAAGGAAACATCACTGTTAGAACAGTCCTGCAGCTCTTGGCAAATTCTTCACTATATTAGTGAAAACGTATTAGTTCGTTATTGCTCTCTTCAGTTTCATTAAGTCTCTTTGTGCTCTGTGATTTGGAACCCAGTGCCAATGTCTAAGAGGAGAGTTTGGGAATTGGATACCCAGTCGGCAATGGAGTTCTAAAACGGGCCCATGCCCTTTAGACTCATCTGTGTTGAGGCTTCAGGTGGAAAGGGGTGAGCCAAGGAAGGAATGTACAGTGAGCCGCAGCCCTAAGGTCAACATGCACATGTTCGTATTTCTCTGATTCGCGGCCATAATGGATCACTGAATCCAGGATGGATTTCTTCAGTTCACAAATGTTTGTCTCATTCTTTGGCTCATGCACAGGCTCACGCTTAGGTGTCTTTCTTAAACAACCCAGGACTATCTATCTACTTGGCCACCCACAGTAAGCTGGGCCTTTTTCAATTAACCATCAAGATAACCCCCTGAAGACAGGCCCACAACATGCAAGTCTGGTCTGCGCAGCTCTTCCATGGAGGCTTTCCTCTTAGGTGACCTGCAGGCTTTGTAACTGGATGCTTAACGCAGATCAGGTAGCGACCCTGAGGAAAATAACTGGGTCTGAAAACAGAGGAAGGTGCTGATTGGGAGAGAAGGGACCCGTGGTTCTGAGGGGGACACACGTGGGTGACAGGGAGGAGGGAAAGTTTGAAAAATGTCACTGTGCTGTTTAGTTTTGTCAAGTTGACACAAGCTGCCATCATCTGGGAAGACGGGACCAAAGTGAGAAACTGCCTCGATCAGCTTACCCGATAGCCCTTTCTCTGGGGAGGTTTTCTGGATGAACGATTGATGTGGGAGGGCCCAGCCCTCTGTGGGAGGTCCCCACCCTGGGCAGATGGTCTTGGATTGCCTAAGGAAACAAGTAAAGCACGCCAAGAAGAGTGAACCAGTGAACATTCTTCCTCTACAATCCCTGCCTCTGCGCCTGCCTGACTTCTTCTGGTGACGACTGTGATCCAGGCGCTTAAGCTAAATGAACCCTTTGATCCCCAAGTTGCCTCTGGCCATGGTGTTTATCAGCACAGAAAAGTAACGAATACACTCACGATTAAATCAATCATTGGGTATGATTAATATATGCTAATAAAACATTTCCTAAAAGAGTTAGGAGAAAATGAAGTCCAGTTATCCAATCCCTACGGTGTGATTGTCAGTTATGTAAACAGCGGGGCTGTTAGAGACATACGGCGGGCACCAGCTTCCTCCAAAGTATCTTTTTTAACTATTATTAAGCTTTCATTATTTTTCCAGAAGGAAAGCAGCATCTACTTCTCGGAAATTGCGGAAATAGCATCAGCGGCGTGGGGAACGGTAAGAAAAAGCACAGGGAATGTGTGTGAGCCAGAAATCCAGAGTGAGATAATACTCAGTGCTCAGCAGAGCCACACACGTGTGAGGTGTCTTCCCTAGACCAGCATCAGCACCACTTGGGGACTCAGGAGAAAGGCAGATCTGAAGCTCTGGGGCTTGAGCCCAGCACCCAGTCCTTTAACAGTTTCTCCATGCCTACAGAAGGGGCTTCTTGGAATTAGAACCCTGAGGTGAGGAACTGGACAGTCTAGAAGTTTGAAGGACAGCGGGCGGGGCCCAGATCTTATCCCCAGACTCATGAGAGGGTGCTCATCTTTCTGGCCCAGCTTAGGACCTAGTATTTAGGGACAATTATGATTCTTCCCTCCGACTCAGTTCATTCCACATCAAATGCTCCAATGGGAGGCATTCCAACTTGTGATTACTGTGAGCTATGGAAACAAAGCTTCTCTCTGTGGCTTCACCCAGTGACACAGCCTGGGAACAGGCCCAAGAGGAGGGAACAGGGCCCAGAGGGCCTGGGAAGGACTTGATCTCTCACTTTTGGGATCCTCTTCTCTCCTACTGCTCCTAAGACACTTTCCCTCATTGCCTTCAGAGCTCCCACTGTGAGATGGAGAGCCGGAAGCGCAGGCAATGTACTAGACGCCGGCGCAACTCCGACCCCAGGACTGAGCTGTGCTTTGACTACTCATGGCTTTTGCTATCCCACGCTCAGCTCCTCCTTCCTCAGACACATACCAATTTCTGAAAACAGAACCTGTCTTTCACTTGATATGACTTCAGGATATGACAGTGATGTATACCAGTTTCTGCCGTCAGTGGCCTGGCTCCACAGAGGAGGCCCATCCCTTTGGTCTGTGGTGCCTAGTGCCCAGCGATGCAACCAGCTCCCCCAGGTTTACAGCTGTGTGACCACAGAGCACGGTGGTCACACAGGCTTAGCAGTCACATTGGGGGCTGAATCATACTTAGGATCAGTATTTCCCAGGGGAAACACACCTTCCCTTGGGAAGCTTTGTGGCGTCTCTTTTCAATATCAAAGAGAACAACAACATAGGGTAGTCTTTAGTTCTCATCCAGGCCTTGAGATGGGTACGGAAACTAAGGGAGGAGAACCAGGGAAGAGTGGAGGCAACCACCTGAGGCACCTGGGCTTTATTCTAATATCGGTGTGTTTATGAGATGAGATGAAAACTGGAAAGAGGTCTGTGAGTGGAAGAGATTAAGAGGCTTTTGTTTACCTGGGATGCTTACCTGGGACGCTTACCTGGGATGTTGACCTGGGATGCTTACCTGGGACGCTTACCTAGAATACTGACCTGGGATGTTGACCTGAGATGCTTACCTGGGACGCTTACCTGGGATGTTGACCTGGGATACTGACCTGGGATGTTGACTTGGGACACTGATCTGGGACGCTGACCTGGGATGCTGACCTGGGATGCTGTCCTGGAGTGCTTTGACCCAGTACATAACGACTCACAGAAAGAATGTTTACTGCAGTCTTATTATTAATTAATTAATTTTTTTTTGACACAGAGTCTCCTGTATCCTAGGATGGCTTCGAACTCACTGTGTAGTTGAGGATGCCCTTGAACATCTGCTCTTCCTGCTTCTACCGTAATCTCAAATGCTGGGATTACAGGTGTGCAGCATCATGTCTACCTCTTATTTTACAAACACAAAACCAAGTCTAGAAAACTTAGGTGACATTTCCAGTACCACAGAACTGGCAGAGGCAGGTTCCTGACAAGATTCAGGCCTTAGTTCTCAGGATATTTCTGGCTCCCCTCCCTGCCAGCATTCAGTGCCTGGCATTTATTACTTTCCTGAGACGCAGCTGAGTATCTGGTCAGCCTGTGTCAGCATCAGGCTTTCTCTTAAGTGACATGGCTTTGATGCTATCAGACAACACTGGTCACAGAATGTTTCAGTTGCTTCTAAGCGTGGATGCAGAGGAGAAGGACTTTTGAGAAGCCAGAGATGGGGCAGGAGGAGTGACATGGAGACTTTGGTTGTCACTGTCCTGAGACTGGTTGATGGTGGCTGTCGTCGTCCGAAGTGTGGTGATGGTGGCCGTGGTCCTGAGTCTGGTGATGGTGGCCGTGGTCCTGAGTCTGGTGATGGTGGCCATGGTCCTGAGTCTGGTGATGATGGCCGTGGTCCTGAGTCTGGTGATGATGGCCGTGGTCCTGAGTCTGGTGATGGTGGCCGTCATCCTGAGCCATCATCCTGAGTCTGGTGATGATGCTCTAATTCCTTGCAAAAGACTAATTTTTTTTTCTTGTCACTACTAATTTATCACCCTGGTCTCCCTTACAGCAGACAGAAATGATTGAGATAGATTACCTTGTGTATGTGTGTGTGTGTGCGTGTGTGTGTGTATGTTCATGCACACGTGTAGGTGTGCTTGTGTGTGAGTCTATAGTTATACATGTGGGTTTAGATGTCAAAGTCAGGTGTCTTTCTCAGTCCCTCTCCAATTTGTTTTTTTGAGATAGCATCTCCCACAAAGCCTGGAGCTCCCCAGTTGGCTAGACTGACCAGTGCTCTCCAGAGGCCTCCTGGTCCCTGCACCTCCACCACTGGAGTTACAGACTTGAAGGGCATGACTGCTCCTAGGAATGGTGGAGGAGACGTCTACCTTAGACACAAGGAAGAGCGCAGGATCATCTGGGCGAGGCCAGAGTGGATACAGCCAGACTTGACTGGGCCATGTGAGGAGATGGGGAGAGGGGAAGGAGAGGGGTGAGCCAAACCAAGAGGCCAGGAGGACAAAGGGTAAATCAAAAGGGACAAAAAAGAACCAACATAGCAAAATTGTTGGATTATATAGGGAAGGGTAGCCCAGTCCCAGGCTGGAGAAATTTGGGGCAGGGGATGGGTATGCCAGCCAGGAAGCCCCTATAACTGGTAGAGACAGGCACACAGGGAGAACCAGGTGGCCAGTGTCTGCTTTGATGTTAAATAGGCACCTAGGCCATCCCCTACCCCCACCCCCGCTTGAGATCTAACAAGGTCACATCTGTGTTTTTTTTAAAAATGGTTGCTGGGTCCTCTGCACTGAGGTTTTTATGCTTGCGCAGAAAGAATTTTACCAACTGAGCAATCTCCCAAACTCCACAAAATAGGGTTTTAAAGAAATATTGTATGACAGAGGAGGTGAAAAGGCTCAAAGTTTGCAATGGTATAGAGTTTTGGGCATGAAGAGGCTTTAAATATTAATATTTATAATTATATACACACTATATATGTATATTCTCTCTATATATACTCTCTCTATATATATGTATACACACACATATATATATATATGTACACATATATAGTATCAAACATAACTGGGAACATTAGTGAGATTGTAATAGACACCTTTAATGATCACTTGCAAATCTCTTCACACATGATTGTTAGAAGATAGAGGTTTTGAGATGAGCCGAGGGGGGCATTTTGGTGCCTAACTGCTGCACCCTCTTGTATTAGGAAGCTCACAGAGAAGGCTCCAAAGGTTTGGTTTCTTGTAACATCAAAATCCCCTTCAAAAGAATTTTCTATGACACGGTTACCCAGGCCAGATCACATTCTTGTACACAGTGACTCACGAGAAAAAAATAAGGCGCAGCTGGAGCTTTAAGGGAAGCCGTTTGAGGAAGGGCGATCTTTAGCCAGTGAGTCACTGTGTACCCACAGAACTTCGACCAAGGCTTGCAGGGACTATTCTGTGCTGAGAACAAAGACACCAAAGAGAGAGGCACGGGGCGGAAACTGGGGTGGGAGAGGCTGTGTGGGGAAGTGGAGTCAGGAAACACGTCCCGGCCCTAACTAGCAAAGTCAGGCGGAAGGACACGCAGCCGCTGGGCACAAACTCCGAACCACGCTCAGGTGAAAGCACTCAGGAGTGATGTTCTTCGCAGAGAGATATGTCTTTCCTTTACGATCGTCACCACAGATTTCTACTGTCGAGTCTTTCCTAGAGTAGAGACGGTGTGATTCAGGCAGTCATTACCGTCCTCCCCCAGGGGACAGTCTGCAGCAAGGACGCCAGATTCCCCTGAGCTGGGCATCGCGTCGGACAATTTAATTCCAATCGAATGTCTTTTCCTAAAGCATTCAAAAGGGCACACGTTTCTCTGGAGATGGGCGTTTTACTTACTCAGTTTTCTGTTCCAGACCCTGGGTAGCTAGCTGGGTTCCTGCAGAGAGAGGCAGCGTCCACAATAGCCCCTCTGTGGAGGCACCCACTGGGAGACCTCGGCTCCAGCAAAAGCAGCTTTCAGGGGAAAACGGGGCTGGGACTTAGCTGCCAAGAATTTAATGAATTACTTTAGATATTTCTCTTGCGTGATCAGAAATTTGAAAAAAAAAATCTGTGTACGGAGCACATGGCAGTGGGGCATTGAAAATCTGCCTCACACACTCAGGTGTCTGTTATGTGTCTAAGTGCTGTTTAAGGCACACACAAGGATTCTTATGAAGTCAACATATACCTCCGAATGAAAATCTCTCTGTAATTGGCATACATCTCTGTCATCAGCTTCCTTGGAAAATAAAGTCATATGATTGATAGTTTTGGAAAAGATAAGTTTAGTGTTAAGATTTTTTTCCCCCCTGAGGCTAGTTTAATGGAAGTTTCCTGTTCAGGAGAAAAGGTAGTTTAAAAAAAAAAGGTAAAAATTTCCATTATGCTTCTTTCTGTTTTTTCACTACGTGATATTTTTAGCCAGTTTTGGAGAATGACCTTCACCCAGCAAGGTTAATGAGTATGCAGCTTTCTGTTGCAGTTTGCAGTGGGGAAATGCAATACAGTTTCAAACCCTTGTGTCTATCCAGCGTTTCGTTTTAAACCACGCACATCACTGCTGAAAGTCTGCAGAAGAACACGGACCATCAACTGAAGGGGATAACCTCTCATGAGGAAAAACTCCGCTTTCAAGCCTTCTGAAACAACAATTACACTGATAAAATTTTTGCTTTAAAAATGTCTTCATTCTGAAATAATCAGAGTTACAGAAAATATTTCACTCTGAATGATGAGATTAATTGGTGACTGGTGTCCACTTCCCCCCACATACCTTAGCATGTATGCATTTATTTACAGACAAGAACATTTTCTTAGCTATTGCGTCCACATCAAAATCAGGAAATTGACTCTGATATATCAGTAGGGTCTAAAGTCTCGGATTTATTTAGTTGGGCTAGTAATGGATTTGACAGGATAAGGACCCAGGGGAAGGCAGCATGGAATGTTTGTCACGGCTTTTTAGTGTCCCCTTGTTTGGGACAGCCTGTTAGTCTTTTCTTGATGTCCACAACCTTCCTACTTCTGGAGATGTGGTGGTATGTCTTCATTTGGGTTTGCGTGATGTGTCCTTATGATGACATTAAGGCTATTGTTTCTTGAGCTGATACTATCCTGTACCAATCCTCTGTTCTGCGCTGATAGCATTCACTTGATGCAATGGTATATTCTACTTAAGAAATGTCTTGGAGGGGCTGGAGAGATGGCTCAGAGAGTAAGAGCACTGGCTGCTCTTCCAGAGGTCCCGAGTTCAATTCCCAGCAGCCACATGGTGGCTCACAACCATCTATAATGAGACCTGGTGTCTTCCTTGCCAGCAGTACATTGTATGCTAAATAAATAAATAAATATTAAAAAAAAAGAAATGTCTTGGAAAGCCGAGCGGTGGTGGTGCACGCCTTTAATCCCAGCACTCAGGAGGCAGAGGCAGGCGGATCTCTGTGAGTTCGAGGCCAGCCTGGACTACAAGAGCTAGTTCCAGGACAGGAACCAAAAAGCTACGGAGAAACCCTGTCTCGAAAATTCAAAAAAAAAAAAAAAAAAAAAAGAAAAAAAATGTCTTGGAAGCTAGGTATCCTTTTCCACATCAAACTGTTCGGTGTTCTGGTTGGTTTGACTGTTGATTTTCTGTTTTATCGTGCTTTGGTCTCTCTCTCTCTTTTTTAAAGATTTATTTATTTATTATGGGTACAGTATTCTAAGTATTCTGTCTACATGTATGCCTACAAGCCAGAAGAGGGCACCAGACCTCATGACAGATGGTTGTGAGCCACCGTGTGGTTGCTGGGAATTGAACTCAGGACCTTTGGAAGAGCAGGTAATGCTCTTAACTACTGAGCCATCTCTCCAGCCCCCCCTTCTTTTATTATTTATTTATTGATTAATTTATTGATTTATTTTTTGTGCTTTGGTCTCTTCCTGTCATTCCTAGTGTACGTACTCAACAAATCCACTCCCAGGAAGATAGTCAGTCTTCCAGGTTAGCTGCTACATCTTCTCTAAGATGTTCTCCCTAAGTGGCTTGAAATCTCATTTCCCAGCCTGGACTCCTCTCTCTCTCACCCTCCTTACCCTCTTCAGAAGCCTCTGACATGACATCTCATGCAGGGCAACATACCCTGCAGCGCACGGCACCCGTCAGCGCTCTATGCGCCAACAACAGTTTGTGAACCGGGCAAGGGGCTGGAGATTGAAACATACAAAGACACAGGTACAGAGACACAGGTCATCCTTGTTGCCAGAATGCCCCAAGAATGCCCCCTTTATTGTGTTCAGGAGCAACTTATATAGAGATAGCCACGCCCCAGCCAAACCCACCAGAAACCACTCCCCTGCCATGAGGAACTCCTGAGGGTCTCGTGCTCAGAGCAGCTGTAGGCACTCAGATCAGGGGAAAACAAGTTGTTTACAAGAAATTCAGGATCTGGGGCTTCACTGCTCCCAACAATACCCTGGCCTAGATTCTCTCTTCATCCTGTTTGAACTCTGGCATCCGAATATTGGCCACACCTGCTCTCAATCCACCTGCACAGACCTGGTAGGTTTAGGAGAGACTCATTCAGACCCAGAAGGGGGAGGGAATAAACGGTAGAAAGGGAAAAAGGAGGATGAAATCTTGTGTACGACCCAGTAAGAAGATTAGAAAATGATTATTTTCAATAATAATTAGATCATCCACTTAAAAGGGAATGATGAAATGTGAATACCTCTTTTGTTTTTAGATTTTTTTTCACACGGTATATTCCGATAATGGTTTCCTCTTCCCAAACTCCTCCCAGATCCTACCCACCTCTCTATCCCCTCAAACCCACACTCTCTCTTGCTCTCTCTCATTAGACAACAAGCAAGCACCTGAAATTAATTAATTAATTAAGATAAAACAAAACAATCCAGAATAGGACAAAACAAACAAATGGGGGGGAGCTAAAGAAAAAACACAGAGACACATACATCCACACACAGAGAAATTCCATACACATACATACACATACATCCACACACAGAGAACTCCATAAAAACACAAAACTGAAAACCACATTATATAAGTGAAAATGGTTTACAAATTTGCAGAACTTTTGGGAGGTTTCCTTTTAACCTCCATCTTCCCTTTGATTTCCAGAATGTAAGCATGGTGGTTGAAGCATCACGATCACCCTGACCTGTGAGGACAAGTGTGTGGTCAAAGTCTGGTGGAGCTAGATCTAAAAGGAGCTCGGGCCCTGGGGAACTGCAGGAACCTGCCCTCTGAGCTTTGGACCACCCTCCCCCAGATGGGTGAGAAATAAAACCTGTGTTTGATTTATGGTTAATCTTGGTTTTTATTAACTTCTTGGTAACTCAGCTCTGAGTGCCATTCTCTATCTCAATCACTGGCAAGAGGAACTGTTACCTTCTGACTGGTGGAAATGGGTTCTGGAAAGTCGCAGTGACTACCACAGTAAATTCTCATCGCTTGAACAGATCTTCTATTTATAGAAAAAGTAAATTGCAGCTGGGCATAGAGGAACATGCCTTTAATCCCGGCACTCGGGAGGCAGAGACAGGTGGATCTTTGTGAGTTCGAGGCCAGTCTGGTCAACAGTGAGTTCCAGGACAGATAAGGACACACAGAGAAAATGTCTCAAAAAAAAAAAGTAAATTTCATTGAGAATGCAGCATTCTTAATGCCCATACAACGTCACCTCACTGTGAAGGCTGCTGTGCCTTTGATACAGACCTTCGGTATTTCCTAGTCGGTGCAGGGGAACTTTGTTACGCACTATTTAGAATCTATGTTTTCAAAGGACTCCTATGACTTTCAAGAAGAAAATTCTTGACCATCCTTCCAAAGACATAATTCCCCAAATGTGAAGTTTCTTTTTTTAGCTTATTTAGGCTTTTAAAACTGAACACACATGCGTTTATTTAAGAAATGTTCTTTTAGACCTACCAGGGCCTACACCCATAGAGAAAACTGACTGTGTCTTCTCTAGAAGCCATCAACTGCCAAGAGTCCATGCTCCCCCAGCTTCACTTCTGGGAATGCTCAACGCTGGCTGATCTTTTAGAGGTCCTGTGCAGCCAGCCAGAGCTTCCATGAGCACAGCAGTCTTGCATATCCAGAGGGCACTGTTTTGGTCCAGTCCTCTTGACCTCCGGTGCCTACGATCTTTCCACCTCTTCTTCCTCAACGGTCCTCAAGCCTTGGGGAGAAAGGGCATGATATAGACGTCTCATTTATAGCTGCACACCCCACAGACACTATTTTTCGCACTTTGATGGGCTGTGAGTTTCTGTATTAGTCACCATCAAAGACTCTGATGGGGGCCAGAGAGTATGGGCAGAGGCATGAATTTAGAAATCAGGTCGCTACTATGTTCACTTAGCAAAATAATAGTAGTAGGCCCTTTTCCTGGGGCCCATGAACTCCTCATCGGTGGATTTTTGGTTAGATTTATTGCACCAGACAGGCATTTCCTGTGGTAGAGCCAGAAAGACATTGGATCTCTTTTTAACAATTGGGCCACAGTCACACCGATGACCAATCTGAATTATAAAACATTTGTGTTTCCTATCCTGTCTCATCCTCGGATTCTAGGGACCACCGGGATGCTTCTGAAGCATCTTAAGGAGCATCCAGGCATGGTGGTCACATGGTTTTATGGTGCTTGGCCACATCTTTCTGTGTCTTGATTATTTCTCAGCCTCTTTACTTTTCTTAAACTTAGTTATTTTCAGGCATTTTTTATACAAGCAAGAAAATCTTAATTTAATTTTTTTTCTTGGTCAGGATAGTGGAGGGGAGGAGCATTTAAGTCAAACATTTCTGTGAAATAAGCTATCTTCCACATACAAGCAGCCCTTCTGACCTGACAAACACAGACACTGCAAACATGAAGACAGTAAATTTTGGACAAGCGAGGTCATGTGTGTATAACAAAGCTGTCAGACTCCACTTGTTATAAAACCATAAAGCCGCTCCTCATGTCTCCAGTGGCTTCCCCTTGATTCACAGCCAATGTTAGCATTCAATTTCTCTTAAATCTTCATGGAAATTACAGATATATGTAAGTAGTTGTGAGCACAAAGGTCTCTACCCCCTACCTCCCACTGAGGAGACATTCTCTAGAGGAAAATCGAGACTTCTACCCTTGTCAAGTAGTTTTCAAACCACAGCAAGACTTGGGTTCCAAGGCTTGTGGAAAACACTTATGAACCTTGTCCTGCTTCAACCCAGAAAATGCCCTGCAGTCTAAGACAGGGTATCTCTAGCACCCATAGTTGTGAAATTCCAACCTTGAGACACAACTGAAAAGAAGAATAATTTAGCGTTATTAACACAACCATTCATTTTGCCAGGTGCCCTGTTCAGCCATTGGTGGGGTGGAAGAGCTACCTCAAGACTCAAAATTGAATTTTAATCTCAGAAGTCTACCTCAGGGGCAACGGAATGTGTTAACAATGCCACTCTAGGGTCAGGAAGGTCACTGTGGACTGCAGTGTGAGGAAGACACTCTGTTGAGCAAGGTTGGGAGGACCTGGAAATTGTTCTAGGCAGAAGGATTCTGGGCACCAGATCAGTCGGGAGTTCAAGGTCGAGGTAGAAAGGACTCCGGGGTTGGGTAAAGACTCGGCATAGGCAGTTCTTCCTAGGAGAGTAAGTAGTTGGCCTTCTGTCTTGAGATACAAGGCTAGTTAGATGTTTGTTTTTGACACCAAGTCTCACCCTCTGGCTCCAAGCTATTCTCCTGCCTCAGCCTCTCAAGCATGACCATGAGACACTGTAGGCCATTTTAGCTTTAGCAATGGTCATTAATAACCAGGCGTTGATGTACAGGGTGGATGACATGCCACAGGGCCAAGTTTGCTAACGGTTCATTCCTTAGCAGAGTGACCCAGATGCTAGATTATGAGGAATAAATTGGGTTGGGAAGGAACCCTGGGAGAACGAAAGTGCTCACAAATCTCTTCAGAGGCCATTCCTAGGCAACCCAGCTTCCTCAAGCCAGGGCACAGAGACAAAGAGAAGCCAGAAGGCAAGCTAACCCTCATCCACAGAACCACGTAGTTTACATGCTCGCTGCTGCTGTTTATTGCCTAAACCCTACAGCTAAAACACCACAGCCAGCTCAGGAAAACAGGCCAAAGATGCCAACCGCTTTCATGGTAACCTGAGTCTCCTCCAGTGACCCAGGAAGCCGCGGGCTAAGCCTCCCCATCGGGGCCCGGCGACAGCTCCCCCGCCAGAGCCACGGAAGGGAGAGGCCTGGTGCCCGCGTCCAGTCTCACTCCACGGTGGCGGCGGCGGTGCAGGCTGCGGCCTGGAAGGGGCGGTGCTGGGATCCTCCGGGCTGGACTGCCCAGAACCGAAAGCAGCTGCTGCAGGGAAGGGGGGAGGAAGGAGAGGCGGCTGCAGGGCCGGGAGGTGAGAGCCGGGCCCGGAATGAGCCGGCCGGCGCTGCTGAGCCATGGCTCTGCGGCTGATCACCCACTTCGACGTGCGGGCGGACGTGCTCCCGAGTCTGCGGGCCCAGGCGGCGGCAGCGGCCGAAGGAGGCGGCGCAGGTGCGGGGCGCGCGTCTCGGAGGGGGCGGGCGGGCAGGTGCCAGGCATCCAGCAGGGGCTTTGGGGATGGGGAGCGGACGCCGTCCCCACGGGGACTCCTGGGGATGCCCCGCCGAGACGAGTGGTACCCGGGGTCGTCACCGGGAAGGGTAGGCGGGAGGCGGAGGGATGGCGCGCCCTCGCCTGTCCCCAGGGCTCACCTCGAAGTGTAGGCTGACCTGGTGTGGTGGTCAAGAAAACGACCTTTTAAGTGTCTTAACAGTCACCTCGCTTGTCCCCAGTGAGGATGCTGAGCATTCCCAGAGCGAAGCTGCTTGTAAGAAGTGGAATTCAGTGGCTTTACCCCTTCTTTTAAAAAAGACATTTGCTGCATATCTGTGGAACAGAGTCTGTATTCCTGGAACAGCTCTGGTGGCTTAGGGGACCTGTCCCTACAGGTGTGAGAGGGTAGTGGGCCCTTTCAGGATGCCCGCAGCGAACTCAGTGTCTGCAGGGTTCTAAGGGCCCAGCAGCTTGCGCAAGAGCCACCAAGCACACACCAGGCACCCGTTCCACCCAACCCCTCACCGCTGTGAGTCAGGGATGCTCGGCTTCCTACCCTAGCCTCCCGGTCAGTTGAAATTAGTCCCTGATGCTTAGTCTCCTCTGGCGGGGAAGGAGGGGGCAGAAAGTGACTTTTGTGTATTCCTAGAATAGATCTGCCTGAAGGAGGAGGGTCTGTAATCTCCTAAATTTTCCCTTTCGTTTTTAAAGGCCATCAATAAGGAAGCATCCTCGGGGCTTAACGGCACCTCTGGGTCTCACCTTGTGTATAACAGCTGTACTTGCTCGCCTCTTTCTGTCTTTGGTTTTCCTTAGACACTAGGTTGTCGTGGATTGGGGCGGGGGCGCACCAAATTACCCGTATCCCCAGTTTCTTCCCTCTGAACTCCTGTGGAAGTCATGTCTACGCGACTCCCATGCACGGAGGAACATGGGTGATCCCCTCGTCTTTGCATATTGATTGCTGGTCATACATCAACAGCTTTATAGCTTTACGAAGGCTGCGTGGTTTCCACTTCTCTGTCTTCACTGAAGTCTTTGAAGGTCTAACTCTTAGAAGTAGTTCAAGGAACTCCAAGTCTGTTTCCCACCCCCAAAATCGATCCTCCTTGGATTTGCTAAGTGGCAGGAGATTGCACATTAGAAGCTGGGTGAAAAATGTCACAGTCTTATGTTTCAGTGTCGTGTGTGTGTGTGTGTGTGTGCGCGCGTGTGCTAACTTTTGGCTTCCTTGCGTCTCTCACTCACTGTGAAGAATTATAAACCTGTGTGTTGATGTTGCAGTAAAAATCTAGGCATTGTATTTTGCCGTTTTTGCTTGTTTTGTTTTTGTTTTTGAGCATGTCCCTTGATTCCCACCATCTTATTACTTTTGATAATCACCACTGAGTGATAGCTTGAAACAAACAAACCAACCTAGGGGCCGGGAGGCGGCTCAGCTGTTGAGGTGCTCGCAGCATGAGCATGGGGACACAACCTTGAACCCCAGCATCCGCAGAAAGTTGGGGAGCACATGGATGCTTGCAGGGCTGCTAAGACAGAGAGCAGAATCCTGAGGCTTGCAGGCCAGCCACGCTGGCTGAGCTCCTGAGAGCTACCTTCAACAACTGAGGAGGATACCGGCCCTCAACTCCTGTCCTCCACAGGCACATAAGCATGTGTGAAATCACACGCACACGTATGCACACGTATGCACACACACATGCATACATGCGCATGCACACACACATGCACACGCATGCACACGCATGCACACATGCACACACATGCACACGCATGCACATGTATGCACACACGCACACCTATGCACACACGTACACACATGCACACGTATGCACACACATGCACACACATGCACACACGCAACACATGCACACTTATGCACACACCTGCACGCACGCACACACTCTCACACACATGCACGTGCACACACATGTACACACACGTATGCACACACACACATACACGCGTATGCACACACGCACACGCATGCACACGCCTGCACGCACGCACACACTCTCACACACACATATACGCATGCACACACACACATGCATGCGCACACACATGCACACCTCAGCCCTTGCGGGAAAATCTGAAATTAGACTTTATTTACAGTGTATCCTTTACCAAACATGTACATGTAAATTATTTTTTGAAGCGCCAACTTTGAAAACTTCACTAGGAGTCACACGGCCATTGACCATGTGTCTGCTTTCTGCATACTTGAACTTTTAAAATCTGAAGTCTTAATATCCTTCCAGGTACATCCATCTTCGTTGTTTATTGTGTGTGTGCATGTGTGTGCTCCGGTACGTGTGTGTGCATGTCACAGCGTACATGTGGACATTTTAAGATGACTTTCAGAAGGGGGTTCTCTTCCACCTTGTGAGGCCTGGGCTTGGAACTGAGCATCTCAATGGCTCTGTGAATATTTTTACATCAACATATTGAAAACGTTTTAGTTACACTAAGTGATCCTCATGAAACATGACATATTCTTGCCAAAACAGTCAGCGGGCTTGGCTATGCCAGTCAGGTAACTTTGGTGGCTGTAGGAGAGAGATGCAGTCAACAAGGACTTGAAGGGGAGGAAGCCAGGTTTGATTATTGTGGTTCTGTGTTGAACTTTGGGAGTATGGTCTCTCCTGAACGAAAATGAGAAAATATTCACAAAAACCAAATTAGTTACCTAAAATAGTTTAACATATGTCACCTCTAAATAGTGATTTAAAAACAAAGGCCCATGTGCCTACGATCCAACTACAGAGTGAATAAATGCAGGGCCATTGGCGGCTGGGGTACTTGCGCCCCCATGAGAGTCTTCATCCCAGTCCCCAGAGGTGACCATCCAAATATTTATATTTTAACAATTTTCATGTTATCGATAGCTTTAAGACAGTTTGTATCTGAATATCAAGTAAATGAGAAGCACACTAGGCTTTCTTTTTACTTTAATCTCTTCTCGGTATTGTAGGATTTATTCAGGCTGACTGGCTACAGAGAAATCTTTATTTTTTCACCAGGTACAGTATTTCATGGCGTGGACTGGCCTTTTGAAGAAGAGCCTTCCCTTGGTACTATGAGCATGGTCAGTTCCTTCAGGGATTGTCCCCAGCTAGCTTCTCCAAGTTCCAGGCATCGTGGTAGGGTATAAAAGCTGGACTGTGTTTGACTTAGCAGGAGATGACTCTGGCAATGGGGGTTTCTGAGCTCCACGCCTTCCCGGCCCAGGCTTCATGGTCGTCGGAAGCGACCTGGTCTGCCTGGAAGCTGGGCTTTTCCTCGTGGGACTGTCTTCCTTCTGCCTCCTACGGGGCAACCCCACAGGGCTGAGCATTTCTTGGGAGACGGTGTTTCACAGGAATGCAGCTTGGTTTAGCCTTTCTCTGGGGAGTTCCCTGAGTTTGCCGGTCCAGTTGGTGCCTTGACTAAATATTCCGGACTGCTTCGGCACCGCTGTGGAGAAGAGTGAGTTGAAATGTTGTCTGGGACCCTCTGTGTAATTCTTGACAGAACCTGGCTAACCTTTCCTGGGCTTCTCCCTGCTTTGATTAGGCTTGAATCGTTGTCACTCCAGATTGATTTTAACTCTATACTCTTTGCCTGGGTCGTGTCAGGCAACAGACTTGAAAGCCAGTTTTTCTTTATTCCCTCTTGTTTGCCATCCGCGGAGTGACCTGGGGATGGGAGGGTGGCCTTAGTCACGTTGTTTGCTGTTTAGTCTTCTCTTGCCCCGTTCTTCCTGGTCACGGTTCCTTCCTGTGCCCCTGGTCTCCTTTTCTGACTCCCGGTTCTCTTTTTATTGTTTCCTGACAATCACCCAAGGCTTGCTCCTTCTCTTTTTATTCGGAGTGTGACATATGGCACACCACAGTGTTCCTGATTTGGGATTATAAAACCCGGTCATGCTGAGCCTAGGGTCTAGGTGGGTTGTGTGCAGACTAAGAACAGTCCTGTTTCACCACCTTTTATGTGCATGTTGGGAGCAGGCTCACTTTTTCGGGTGGGGGGGATAAGACTGTATGACTCCCCTCTCTAAGAACTGTCACTGGGAAGATAGAATTATTTCAATTTTTGTTTTATGGCACTGAAATTCATACACTTGGCTAACATCTTCTGGTGATGTGAATCACTCTGCCTTGGAAAGAATGGATTGAAATGAACGAGATTGTTTGGGAAGCCGGCGTCTGTTTCTCTTCACCTCAGACATCACAATGCTTGGTGTGTTCGAGACCTTCTGTAGCAGGTTCATTTACGCCAGTAACTTCCTTATCGAAATGCGTTACCGTGATCCCAGAGTATACTGAACTGTAAAATTAAATCACATTTCCTCATTTGAAATTGCTAAGCTTCCTCCTCTGGACTTTCCAGAGAACCTCTACTGGGGGAAGAGTCAGAATGAATACGAAGGCAAAGACGCTAATGAATACTCAGAGGAGGGTGTGAAGGCAGGGGCAACCAACCTCGAGAGGAAAGGCAAATCGGTTGAGTGTGTGACGAGACGTCATTCCAAATCTCCAGCGTGGCCAAATGCACCCATTTCATACCCCCTTGAAATGAGAGCCACGAGGCCAGCTAGAGTTAGCACTAGCTAACATACCCACGAAGACATCTTGATTTCTTTCAATCCTGTGTGCTGTGGTTGCACCATATTCTGGACCAAGTTCTGACTCCGGTAACTCATAAATGTTGTGCAATGAAAACTACCTACGGGAACTTGACAGGCGCAAGCAAGGGTTCCCACACTGGTCTCTCACAAATCAGGTACCATGACTGGCTGAGATGGCCCGGGAGGTAAAGGCGCTTGCTCCCAGCCTGACGCCCTGAGTTCCTCAGGGTGCAAGGAGAGAGCCCAGCTCCTACACACTGACCTCTGACCTCTGCCACGTGTGTCCCGTGACCTTGCTCTCACTCCCTCTCTGTTCTCTCCTCCCCATTTCTCAAATACCAAATAAACAAATAAAATGTAACCTGTATTTTTGTAAGACGAGAATGTCTTGGTTCTTGTGTGGAGCATCAGTATTTCTTAAAAGGCTCCCCTCATGTTTCTAACACAGGCAGAGCTGAGCGCCATGGTATGTGTTATGTATTCCTGTGTGTAAATGTGTATATATATATATATATATATATATATATATATGCACACACACATACACATCATGTTTCTAACACAGGCAGAGCTGAACGCCATGGTATGTGTTATGTATTCATGTGTGTAAATGTATACACACACACACACACATACACACACACATCATGTTTCTAACACAGGCAGAGCTGAACGCCATGGTATGTGTTATGTATTCATGTGTGTAAATGTATACACACACACACACACTGTGTTTCTAACACAGGCAGAGCTGAGGGCCATGGTATGTGTTATGGATTCATGTGTTATATGTGTATGTGTGTGTGCGTGCACACACACACATGATAATATGATAATTATAATCTGTACTTGGTGGAGAATTTTTTAGTGACTTAAAAATAGATGTTTTGCCAGGAATTTTTTCAAGACTTCTTGTAAAGGAATTTCTTATCTCAACTGAAACCTTTTATGTTTACTTTTGTGAAGGGCTGGCCCAGTGTCCTTATACTCTTGAATGAAAAAAAATCTCAAAATATTGACACACTGCACTCTAGAAAGCTTTGCGTCATTGCAGCATGGGAACTTCTCCAGCTGTTAGGGTCCCCGAGAGGGTGATCATTCATCTTCCGGTCTCGCCTGGCACAGGGCACCAGCTCACTGTTCTCTTTGGTGCTGTGAGGTGACCCTGTGCTGTTTCTCCACTGTGTGGTGTTGGCCTGGGGGCCTCACCTTGCTGAACTCAGTTGTCCTTTGGGTGCAATGGGCCTGTGACCCCTGGGCCAAAGTGTGCGTGAGGTGGGAATGAGAGCACGGAAGGTGGACTTAGCAGTCAGCTGACCGGATCTCGTTGTGATGTAAGAGCAAACGACATCCGTGTATTTCAAAATCAGTGTGGAGTGGTTCTGGCAGCTCAACAGAAATTATATATATACACACATACACCTGGCTATAAAAGCATGTGTGTATCTTCACACAGAACTCTCCCACTCTGTGTCTCATGACAGACCACGTGTGTCCTCACACAGAACTCTCGCACACCGTGTCTCGTGACAGACCACGTGTGTCCTCACACAGAACTCTCCACACTGTGTCTCGTGACAGACCACGGGTGTGTCCTCCTCACACAGAACTCTCCCACACTGTGTCTCGTGACAGACCACGTGTGTGTCCTCCTCACACAGAACTCTCCCACACTGTGTCTCGTGACAGACCACGTGTGTGTCCTCCTCACACAGAACTCTCGCACACTGTGTCTCGTGACAGACCACGTGTGTCCTCACACAGAACTCTCGCACTCTGTGTCTCGTGACAGACCACGTGTGTCCTCACACAGAACTCTCCCACACTGTGTCTCGTGACAGACCATGTGTGTCCTCACACAGAACTCTCGCACTCTGTGTCTCGTGACAGACCACGTGTGTCCTCACACAGAACTCTCGCACTCTGTGTCTCGTGACAGACCACGTGTGTCCTCACACAGAACTCCCACACACTGTGTCTCGTGACAGACCACGTGTGTCCTCACACAGAACTCTCACACACCGTGTTTCGTGACAGACCACGTGTGTGTCCTCCTCACACAGAACTCTCGCACTCTGTGTTTCGTGACAGACCACGTGTGTCCTCACACAGAACTCTCCCACACTGTGTCTCGTGACAGACCACGTGTGTGTCCTCACACAGAACTCCCACACACCGTGTTTCATGACAGACCACGTGTGTCCTCCTCACACAGAACTCTCACACACTGTGTCTCGTGACAGACCACGTGTGTCCTCCTCACACAGAACTCTCCCACACTGTGTCTCGTGACAGACCACGTGTGTCCTCACACAGAACTCTCGCACTCTGTGTCTCGTGACAGACCACGTGTGTCCTCACACAGAACTCTCCCACACTGTGTCTCGTGACAGACCACGTGTGTGTCCTCACACAGAACTCCCACACACCATGTTTCGTGACAGACCACGTGTGTCCTCCTCACACAGAACTCTCACACACTGTGTCTCGTGACAGACCACGTGCGTCCTCACACAGAACTCCCACACACCGTGTTTCGTGACAGGAGGAAGAGAGGCTTCAGGGTGAGGGTGAAGGCTCCCCACCAGCTCCAGCTCTGGTGTCCTCTCTTCCGCTACCCCTGACTTTATTCTGCTTTTCTTTTGAATTAGAAATACAAACAGAATGCGCTGTAGGATGTTTTGTGTGTTTAATCTAAACATTTTAATTTTCTATAGCCAATGCATTACTATTTTAATGTCTGGATATAGCTTCGTGTATGAGCAACTCAGTTTAAGTCATTTGATTAGGATCAACTTTTGAGGAAGCTAAAAATATCAGTTTCTCCTCAGTTCATGATACTCAAGAATGCTGTACTGTTTATTTAAGCCCTTTACCTGGAGAATCAAGGCTGTCCTAAAAATTGTAGATGAAGATGGACAGTTAAATTTTAAATTAAATGTTTTGTATAAAGGTCCTTTATGTCCTGCTCTAGAAGATTTTTTTTTTATTGGAAAGTACCCAAGTCATAAGGACACAGAGTTCCATCAGTTTCCCTAGACTGACACCCTCAGAGCAGAAAAGAACACACCAGCTTCACATAGGTCCTCTGTGCTCCGAGGCAGTTGCTAGTTTCAGAGACTGATTTCATCAGTTTCAGAAACACATCAGCCAAGTAACACAGGTGGTTTTCAGCGGTTTTGGAGGATTTCGTGGTTTGCTCATTTTTTTATGAATCAGGGTCTCTCTGTGTAGACCTGACCGGCCTGAAACTCATAGAGATCTGCCTGCCTCTGCCTCCTGAGTGCTGGGATGAAGGGCGCATCACAGAGGGCAAAGAGTATTCTAGGTGTGACCTGCCGGACCAATGGAATGAAAAGACTGAGTGCTGGCTGGGGAGGACGCCGAGGGAGGACCACCTCTCTCACACCGTGAGCATGAATTGCCAGAGAATTAACAGGAAAGGAGAGAGAAGGTTGTACCACACGAACCGTAGCCAGAATGTCCATGTCACTGTATAAATACCAAAGAAGGAGACATTTTTCAATGAATAAAGTCTAACTCCTGCTAAAAGCCTTAGGTGTGCTTCTCCACACCGGGACATGCACAATCACAAAGATGTACACGGAAGGGCTCACAGGAGATTGTCCTCTCCTAGCTGTGACCCACTGGGGGAATGGCCATCGGGCCCAGGTGTCCTAGGTAGGCTATCGGCAGAGACCTCTCTCCAAAGCCTCTACGGCAAGGGGATGAGATGTTCTCGGCTCAGAACAGAACTTTCCCACTCCGAGCTCCGCCTCCCTCCTCCCTGTCTCCTCCTGGGTAATAAATACAGGAACCTTTCTGGGTCTGGGGGTGGGGGTCGGGTTGGTTCTTGACAGCAAGAGAAAAACCTTTTTCTGACTCTTAACACGGAACTAACCAAAGGCAGCATCGCGCGGGGATGTCTGTACTTCTGGGTTAGCTTGTCTGTACTTATGACGTCATAGTAAGCGAGGGAAGGTTTGCCTGTTTGCTTGTGTGTACGTGAGTGGAGTGTGTGTGTATGTGCGTGCGCACATGAGTGGGTAGAGGCTAGCCGATGGCGTTGGGTGGTCCTCCTCTATTACACTCCATCTTTCACGAGACACACTCTCACGGAACCTGGCACTCCCTGGTGGGTCAGCAGGTATAGCAAGCTGAATCTACTCCGCCAGCAGGTGAGCTGCACCAAACCTGGCTTTTTACATGGGTGCTGGGGATCTGAATGCAGGTCTGTACACTGGTTTGGCTGGCACTTTGCCAACTGCCAGCCGGAGAGTATTTGCCAACTGCCAGCCGGAGAGTAATTCTAAGTTGGTGTGCCATTAATGACACAGTCTCGGAATGCGTAAGAAAAGCTAGCATACAATTGAAATCATTGAGATACAGCGTACAGAAGAATATTTAGTGGACAGGTGAAGAGGACACAGCCCAGTAAATGTCTCCACGAGCTTGCCCGTGCACTCAGAGTGTGCCCTCCCCCACGAGTCTTTCCCTGCCCCTTAAAGGTCATGAGTGTTTCGACTTCTAACAAGATAGGTTAAGTGTGCCTGCTTGTACAGTCTCTATAATGGGGTCACCAGCTTTTAGTTTAGAACTTGATTTCTCTCATGAATACTCTATCTGCTGGATATGTTAAAGCCATTTCCTGAATATTAGCTTGTCATTTTCTATTCCAGGTGTTTTAGAAACAGCTTATGAGAGCTTGCGTGTGCTAAACATCGAAAGAAATGGAAACATTATTTATACCTATAAGGTGAGTCCGCGCAGTCTTCTTATTGCAATGAATAAATACAACACACAGTTTATTGTTTTCATCATTTAGATTATCCTTTCACAGATTTTTTTTTCTTTTTTGAGACACAATCTTACTATATAGCAACGGCTCGGCTAGAATTCACCATGTAGACCAGGCTGGTCTCAAACTCACAGATATCTGCCTGTCTCTGCTTCCCCAGTGCTAAGACTAACTTTTTACAGAAACCGTACTTCGCTTTATTGAAGGGCAGCAAAGACTTGTTGGTCCTTAACCTTTAACATCCTTGGCTTCTGTGAAGGTGATATTGAAGAGATGCTGGTGGTCCATCTTATGAGATATTTTCTTTAAAAAAAAATCAGGTGAAACTACGTATTTCAAATTCAAAATAAATGAATGGATGGATAATTTCATTTTCTCGAGGGAAGAAAGGGCCAAGACATTTAAACCTAACTAGTATGTTAAAGTTTTGTCTTTGAGACAATGTTAACTATGGTTACTCTGTCATCAGATGGAAATATAACCATAGTTGACACAATGTTGTCAGATGTTGGATGCTCTAAGGAAGATTTAATTTTACCGACAACTCTGCTAATAGGGACACACGAAGGAATAATTCCAACAGATAGTTCTAGACATGTGTTCCGCCGTAATTTGTTTCCTGTTGATAAAAAAAAATTTGTATATTGTGGACTGGAGAGAGGGCTCAGCCATTAAAGGCTAGGCTCACAACCAAAAAATATAAGAAAATTTGTAAGTTGTATTTATGGATGATGCATTTAAAGGTTCAATTTTACTTACTGATAATATTCTTATATTATGGATTTTGTTCAATACCATTATCTATTTTGTAATATTTACTCTCTTGAAAACACGGCTGGAGGTTCATGCTAAGACAGTCCCCAGAGTCTCTAAACTGTTAGTGGTGACCCGTTCCTGCTCCAAGTTCCAGGACCTAGTTGAGTTAGGCCTGGTCTTCTAGATGTATGCAGCAGGCTTCCTTTAGCGTGGCAACCTCATTTCCCAAACAATGGCACTAACAAACATCTGATTGATTTTTAGGATATTAAGGGGAATGCTGTCTTTGGATTATATGACTGCCAAACCAAACAGAACGAGGTAATTATAGATTTCTTAGCTGACGGTTTTCTTTTGCCTCCTCTGTTTTCTAGATATAAAGCTCAGTTTTGTTTTCCAGAAACTTAAATATTTTCACTTCCCCTGTCTCCTATTTCTTTAGTTTTTTTTTAAAAAAATCCTTGTTGTCAAAAAAAGTCTAATGACACCTGAATCAAAATGACACACATAGTCTTGGTTCTTTGAAGTTCAGCTAAAGTTGGCTCAGACAATAGTACGGAGAAAGAACTAAAAGCTGGAAGTCCACTGCCTTCCGCAAGACCCGTGTGTACTCCGAGGTCATTTTCATAGCTGGGCCCTTGGCTCTGAGTTCTGATTCTGGCTGACTTTCGTGACGTTGTTTTTGTTCCTTTTTAGTAACAGCCCAGGTTTGGAGCTGGTTCCTTAGTTTTATTCAAACCTACCCCTGCTTGTTCCTGGTCAGTGTGGACAAAGTTAACCTAATTGGGACCTTAGGGTGGCAGGGCAGTTTGTGCTGTCTTATTGGCCTTGAACTTAAAGATCCGTTTTGCGTGCTAAGTTTCTCACAGGTACCTCTCTCTTTCGGCTTCAGTGCGGAGAGTGGTCATTCTCTCTCCCATCACCCCTTCTCCCCCAATTCCTCGCACAGCCGCTCGTTTCTGTTTATTCCCTGATTCAATAACTACACACTCAGTGTTCCCCTTGTGAGCATCAGAGTCCCGGGGATGAGCAAGGCAAATCCTTTTGAGACACAGCCGGGGAAGAAGCAAACAAAACTCTGGGTGCTGGGACAGTCCTTCCCTTGGCTTCTGGATGGTCCAGATTGTGAGAAGATGTGTCCTGAAGCAGCACAATGTGAGATTTTAGTCTGACTTGGGTGGGGGTGCAGCTACCTTCTATGGATATGTTCATCTCCCCTGGGCCTTTAAGCTTACTGCTTCTTTGGCTTTTCAGATATGGAGATAACTCAGGAAATAAATTGGCTAAGGCATAAATTAGCAGGAATGTTCACCAGCTTTATGGTGATAAATAGGCACATCTTTCTTTACCCAAAGTTGCTGCTAGCCATAGCCGGTTTGCTTCTGCTACCACAGCCTGCTATAATGGAGAGTCTGAGATTCTCTCTCTCTCTCTCTCTCTCTCTCTCTCTCTCTCTTGTTTTTAAAGACAGGGTTTCTGTGTAGCCCTGGCTATCCTGGAACTCACAGAGACCCTCCTGCCTCTGCCTTCTGAGTGCTGGGATTAAAGGTGTGTGCCACGGTGGCCACTGCCCAGGATAGTTTGGTGATTTGTGAAGAACATGTTTAGTTCTTACAGGTTCCAGATGTTGGGAAGTCCAAGGTCTAGGGTCCTACATCTGGTAAGGGCTTTCTTCCTCTGCCATGGTACATGGTAGAAGGGTGAGGACTGGAGAGCAAGAGGGGTCTTGATTCACCTTTATGCTAATACTCTCTAATCCTCTCGCAGTAGCTAACCCGGGCTGGTGAAGCCATAGTCCATTAGGAGGGCAGAGCCTGTGACCTAAGCACCCTTCCCTGGGCCTCTGCCTCCAGACATTGCTGTACTAGGGATTCTCTTTCCAGTCTATGGAGTTGGGAGACACAGTCAAACCACAGAAGTCACTAATCCCACTCTCTCTTCTATGTTTCCCGTATGTTCAGAACACCTTACAACCCGCATTGCTCCCCCTGACTCTTTGGTTGAGGAAATGTATTTGCATATCGAGTCATCTGGACTTGAAATTTTTCTTTCAAGTTTGGTTTTGGGACTGTGCCACCAAGAGAAAGACAATGCTTTGTTTCCAGGCGGGGTTCAAGGCCGCACAAACCTAACGATCCCCCACCTGCCTAGGTGGTTTTGTTTTTAAACAGGCAAAACTGCCAAGTCCCAAGCACCCTTGGCCTGGTTTTCTCCGGTTCTTACATCTTGTGTAACTAGAGCGTGACAGGAGAACCAGGAAGGTGACTCTGGTAGCATGTGGGTGTCACGGTTCTGTGCCGTTTCATCACAGAGCGCGATTCTGTCGCCGCTACTGCAGTCAGCGAACACCGTGCACCGTACATCCAGAGAGCTGCTGGCGGCTGTTTGCCAGTTCCCAGGAAACTCAGGGCCCTTTACTTCTGAAGTCATTCACTTTCCTGAATTTACAGTTGCTGCCCACATGTTGTCCCTCTTTACAAAGACTTATTTGTGTATTTATCTACTTTGTGAGTGTCTGCGTGAGCGTGTGCGGCACGTGCGTGCAGAGCCCATGGAGGCAGGGAAGAGGGCGTTGGATCCCCGGAACCGGAGTCTTCTGCAGGGGCTCTGAGCACGCTTACCTGTTGCATCATCTCTCCAGCCGCCCCCTTCCATAGACAAGACTTCTACTTATGCACTTGTTCTGTGGTCCTTGGTTTGAACCCACAGCCACCGTTCATGTCAGGCAAGCGCCGCACCACCGAGCTGCAGCCTTAACTCCGTGGTGTTTTTCAAGATCCGAATTTGATGACACATATTTTGCCTTTGTTGTTAAATATAATTTAGACAAAATGAACTAAGGAAAATCCACTGCGTCCTACCCATATTTCCATTCTTTTCATTATTTCATCTTTTTTTCTTTTTCTTTTTTTTTAAAAAACATTTTCCTGATCTTTTAGGAATTTGCTCCAGTCATGGTAACTCAGAGTTGTGGGCAGGTCACAATTCTCACCTGAGTGCTTGGGCAGCTCACAATTCTCACCTGAGTGCTTCCTCATTTACTCATTTTGAAGGATGGTTTTGTCAAGTCTAGAATTCAAGCTGACAGCTATCGTCTTTTGGTTTCTGAAAAAAATGTCCTCCTCCCTCTCTCCCTTCATGGCTTTTTGTGGGAAATCTTATCTTTTAAAACATTTTCTTTCTGTTTTTAAGGTGTCATTTTCCCCAATCACTTTTGAAAATGTTTTTTTTTTCTCCTTTGCCCTTTATTTTATAAAAATTTACTTGAGTGTGTTTCTATGGATTTGTTTGGGTTTTTGGGTTTTCTTTTCTTTCTTTTTATTTATAGATTATTATTATAAAACTTCCTTTTACCTATACTCCTTAATGTATTCCACAATATAGAAACAGAAGGGTCATTATCAAACTCCTTTTATGAAGCTACAGTTACTCTGATACTAAAACTTCCTTTTTATTTATTCTCTGTATCTTTCACATCAGGCATCTCCATCCCATTCATTTCTTGTCCCTTCATATCTGCCCTTGCAACCTCCCCCACAAATAAAATAAAATAAAATTTAAGAGAAAAAAATTTAAAAAAAGGGAAAAATCTTGTCCTGGAAGCTGTAGTGTGACGTGGTACACCCTTTAGTCCATTTGTTTTTCCTTGCAAGTGTTCACTGCTCTTGCCATTGCCATTGGTCTGGCTGGAGCCCTCTCGCTTCTGCTACACTACAGATGCTGGACCCTCACTGGGACACCCTTGGATATCCTGCTGTTGCCCTGCGTGGTCATGGAGACCCTGCAGCTTTGGGTCTGCAGGTCTGGCCCCTTCACACGCTCTCCAGATCACAGATGGGGCGGATGTTGGGGTGGGTCAGCTCCTAGCCCTGGTCTGAGCCTGGGCAGCTGCTGGGTTTGTTAGCCCGCCAGCTCTCCCTGCCCTCACCGCCAGGGTGAGCTCTCCGGCATTGCCCTTGCTAGTTTACCCTTTGCAGCGATGAACAAGGGTGGGGCTGGATCTCCTTCTTTCAAGCCCTCATCACTGGCTCTCCAATGCCTGGACCACCAGGGCCAGCGCTACTGTGCTGCCTGGTCTAGGTGCAGGGCGGCCCTCCCCAGTGCTGCGGCTGGAGAGGGGCGGGGGCAGCTTCCCTGCTCTCATGACCTCAGGGTCAGCTCTCCGTCCTCCATTGTTTGGGTTTTCATTCAGTTTCTTGAATCTTTTGCCCCAATTTGGGGCAATTCGCTCATCAGTCACTATGTCTTCAAACACTTAAAAAAGTTTTACTTACTTTTTTCCTTTCCTGGATTTTAATTGCATCAAATTAGTTAATCAGATCTTTGTGGTAGTCAGGGGTCTATGAGGTACAACTTCTTTCCCTTGGTCCCAGGTAATTTACTTTGTGCTGTTCAGATTAGGTATTTTTTTTCCTTCAAGTTCCTGGAATTTTTTTTTTTTTTAGTATGTTGCTATCATTTAAGATTTTAAAAGCTGATTACTATAATTTTCAAGAGTAAAAATTCTATGCATTTTTCTTTATCTGTGTCCTTGTTAGGATTTCTACTGTTTTTATTCAATCACATTTTAAACTTCTTAGTCGAGGCCTTTTGTCTTGTTTTTCGTGTTTTGAAATCTTTGCCGCATCGTCTAGTATTTACCACCGTAGTGCCCAACGTCTGCTTTTCTCACTGGCGCTGAAGTTCTCCCAGTTCCTGGCATGACTCATGGTTTTCGTGGCTCCCAATAGACGCTAGGTCTTATTTAGATTTCTGTTCCAGTGTCTCCTCTGATACAGAACTTGTGGAGGCCTGTAGGGCGCCATCCCACTCCCGCCGTGGTAGGAGGAGCGAAGACTGGAACTCTTCCACGTGGCTTCCTTTGATGGTACCCAGCTGAGAGGGTCCGCTGTTGGTGCTAGGTGGAGATGGGCTTTTCAGCTTTCTGCTAGGCTTCACCCGCTCAGGGTCAGGAACCAGGGTGGGTTCTGGGAGACGTGAGTCCTAACTTCGCGTCCAGCCCTTCTGCCGGTGCTCCACTGAGGAAGAGCTGGGCCTCCTCAGAGCTGGGTCCGGGTAGATGCCCACCATCCTACATGGCTTTCTGCGCGCTGCGAGGGGGAGGTAGATTTCTACCAGGTGGGAGGAACGTCGTGATTTCTACCTGATCTTTTCTGATCCCATCTGGCAGGAGTGGACAGTACCTGGGGCATTTGGATGGAGTGGGATCCTAGTCTCCCTGCTCAGCCTTGTGGGTAACGGGACAAGTGGGGTCGCCTCTCTTCAGACTGTTCGCTAGAGTAGTCTGGGCAGCATCTAACAGACTCTGTCTTGCTGGCTTTCTTGTTTCTTTGCCTAGGGCGATGGAGGTGGGTGTTTCTGTCTATTTCTGGCTTCCTTTCTGCTATAATCTCTTTTTTAGCTTCAAGTCTTGAATATGGTATGCAAAAAAAGCCACCGCTGCCTCGTTTCTCAGAACTCAGAGTCCCCAGAGTCTGTGTTTCCCCTCCCCCAGGATGCTGAAGATGGAACCCACAGCTTTGTGCTTACAGGAGAAACATGTATCCAACCTGTTCTCTTTACTCAACTTCCCAGGCTTCTTAGCTTCATTTTGTAGACAATATTCAGGGTTTTCAGCTTTACTGAGTGGGGAGACTGGGGAGAAGGGAGTCTTTTTTGGTCTTCCTCTGCAGTTTTAGATACATGGCCAAACAGGAAGCAGCACACTGCTTAGCCATAAGGGGAACAAGTTCCCTTCCTCCCCGCCCCCTCTGACCTCTCTTCCTCACTCCCAGCCCTGCCTGCCTACCCTCAGAGCAAGCAGGCAGAAATAAGGCTTGCGCTGGTGGTATACAAGTACCTAGCAGACTTTTCTGGGGATTGAGACTGTTCTTCTCTGATTCTGCTCACATGGAATGTGAGATTGGAACAGCCAGGCTTTTGGGGACCAGAACTTGGAGTTTTGTTATGTGGAGGCTGAAGATGTGTTAAAGCCAGAGGGTTAAAAGAATGGGTATTTCTATTTCTGGATTAAACCATAGCTAAAGCCCAGACCGACCTCACATTATCCTGTTCCCTGAGCCATAGTGTAATTGCTTTTCTGCATAAGCTACTTTGGTGAATTTTTTTGATGTTTATAATGAAAAATCTCATACTTCTATTCCTTGTGTCCCAGAAATTCTTGCATAGGCTCACAAAGATGTATTTGAGGTTTAAGAATGTATCTCAGTAGTAAAATACTTTCCCAACTTGTACAAGTTCCCAGGTTTGAGCCCCAGCTCTAGAAAATAATACAAATGAATGTTAGTTGCATCATTTTAGTATCTAAAAGTAGGAGCTAAATTAAATTAATGCCCATGAATAGGTTATTTGGGACTAAATGCAGCTGCCGAGGGATGAAGCAGTCTATTAAGCTGGGATGTAGTAAAAGGCGAACAGGGCTTACAGGGTAAAGGGCTTGCAGGACAAACACGAGTTCACAACCCAGCACCCTCTGAAAAACAACACAGTGTGTGATCTGCAACCCCAGCACTGGGAGTGTGACAGGCAGGATCTAGGGACCCACGGGCCTGACCGTCTATCCAAAATAGTGGACTGTGATAGAGGAGACACTGGACCCTGACCCCTGTCCACAGCACACGCATAGGTACGTGTGTGTCTGCATTACACATGCTTATCACACACACATACACACACACACGCACACATATGCACAGGCATACACATACATACACACATACATACATACACACACATACACACATTCACACACACAAGAGGCGTCAGATGTGGGGGGAAGCATCAGATGTGGGGGTAGGCGTCAGATGTGGGGGGAGGCGTCAGATTGGGGGGAGGCGTCAGATGTGGGGGGAGGCGTCAGATGTGGGGGGAGGCGTCAGATGTGGGGGGAGGCATCAGATGTGGGGGAGGCGTCGGATGTGGGGGTAGGCATCGGATGTGGGGGTAGGCGTCAGATGTGGGGGTAGGCGTCAGATGTGGGGGAGGCGTCAGATGTGGGGGGAGGCGTCAGATGGGGGGAGGTGTCAGATGTGGGGGGAGGCGTCAGATGTGGGGGGAGGCGTCGGATGTGGGGGGAGGCGTCGGATGTGGGGGGAGGCATCGGATGTGGGTGTAGGCGTCGGATGTGGGGGGAGGCGTTGAATGTGGGGGTAGGCGTCGGATGTGGGGGGAGGCGTCGGATGTGGGGGAGGCGTCAGATGTTGGGGGAGGCGTCAGATGTGGGGGAGGCATCAGATGGGGGGAGGCGTCAGATGTGGGGGGAGGCGTCAGATGTGGGGGTAGGCATCAGATGTGGGGGGAGGCGTCAGATGGGGGAGGCGTCAGATGTGGGGGGAGGCGTCAGATGTGGGGGGAGGCGTCAGATGTGGGGGGAGGCGTCTCAGATGTACATGCAGTTCTGAGCTGCCTGACGTGGGTGCTGGGAACCGAACTTGGATTCTCTGCACTAGTAGCTCATACAACTGAGCGGTCTCTCGAGCCTGAATTTAGTGCCCTCATATTAACTCAATGCTCCCCTTTAGTAACTGTTTCCCGTGGAGATGTGGTGACACAGCCAGAGTGTGTCCTCAGTCCTTAGCCTACACATCCCGTCTTTCTTCTATGTGACTGTTTTCATTTTCACTGATAAAGTGGAATCTTTTGATTCCCCTCACTGCTGCTTCAGACAGGGTCCCACCATATAGCCCAGGATGGCTTCCAACTTGTACCCCTCTGCCTCAGCCTCTGGAGGGTTGGGGTTACTGGTGTGTGTACCATGACCGGCTTCTCTTGATATTTTGAACATTACAAACATTCATAAAAAAGGAAAGATTAAGTAAAGACAGAAGGTTTGTTATCCACTCCTTTAATATGAAATACACTTGTGACACATTCCATGGTATCAGAGTTGAGTGTGTCATCGGATTGAAGCCTTTCTCATCTCCTATGCTAACATCTGGGTGCCCCTTGGACAGCGTAAGCTGCACTGAGCGCTCTCTGATTATTGTCCCCTTGATCCTCATACCCCCATGAGATGCCTTTCACTTACTTTGGCCATAATAATTACACGGGATACATATTATAGTCCTGTGTTAATTATGATGGTTAGGTAAGTTGAATAATTTTCCCAAAGTCACGCAGCTAGAAAACAGCAGTCAGGATTTGACCGTGGGTCTAGCTTAGTTTCAAAGTTTGTCTTCTGAACCACGCTGGCTGTCCCATAGCTAAGTTTCAGGACCCAATGTGGCACAAAATATTAAACACATATTCCTTGAGAAATAATCCAGACCGTATGAGCACAGACTAGTTCACTCTGTGCTGTAGGGAGCGTTTGCTAAGTAATGTTTGGTACAAAGCTTAATAGGAGTTTGCCTTCATACAATTGTTATTCACTGTGACCATCCCTTTATGGATGTTTTAATAGCACCTGTACACCTTTGAGAGGGACATGCAAGCTGTCAGCTGCTCTGTCAACAGAGAGAGGACTTTGCTTGGTGAGTTGAGATCCCATTGCTTCCTGTGAAGAGCTGTGTCTTTTACGTTGAAGCATTTAAATTTTGCAGTATTCGACTATAGCAGAAACATTGCAAAAAATACCTGTTCTATTAGACAACAATGAGGACACTAAGAGAGACTTACCTAGATCTAATCTACATGGGAAGTAGAAAAAGACAAGATCTCCTGAGAAAATTGGGAGCATGGGGACCTTGGGGGAAGGTTGAAGGGGGAAGGGGAGAGGCAGGGAGGGGAGCAGAGAAAAATGTAGAGCTCAATAAAAATCAATTAAAAAAATTCAAAGGCAAAAAAAAAATACCTGTTCTAGGTAAGTCAAGTTTGATATTGAGCCTGCAGTGTTAGGGTGATAGATCTCATTGATTTCAGGTGTTCAGTGTTATACTTGAACAAGCTGCCATGCAGACCAGTTGCTAATTGATTTTTCTCTTTTCCATCAGCTGCAAGTTTTGTCCAGTACACTAAAGATGTAAGGAGTGAGCTTCAGCCGGGTAATGGAATTCTTCTTCTTTTGTGTGTGTCGACGGATAAAGATTTGTTGGGCTAAAGGCAAATTTCAAGCTCTTTAGAAGTGCCTCTATCTTAGAATAAAAATGTCAGTGGCCATTTAAGCGCAAGCAAGACTTTAAATCTTGCTTCTCAAGTAGGCAAGAAGGTGCGAAAAATAATATAATAGAGATTGTAGAAAAATGAGGTGATAATTAGCCCCTGTAGAGTAAATGAATTCTGAGACTATACTTGATGTCTATGGCCAGATGCTAATGTAAAAGTAGGGAAACGTACAATACGACTTTAAAAATATCTGATGAAATATTCATTCATCTCTAATGTATTGTGGATAGTTCATAAATACAAAATAAAACACAAATCTGTTCAGTTATGAAAACCTACTTTTTTATTTTCTTACCTGTGCGGAATCTTTCACTTTTTAAATTGCAAAAGGTATTCTGTATCATTCATCTGCCCCATAACACAACAGTAATGACTGCACATGCTCGGGCCCCCTGCGTGGTGCTGCGGGTACTTCTGTGGAGTGCTGAGGCTGCTATCCTCAGCCACGCATGTTCACAGAGGCCAGATACATAAATAGATTTGGTGGAAGGAGAGTGAGTGTCACGCTCGTGGTGTAGTTCAATCAGTGAAGTTTTGTGCAGGCGTGAGAACCTGCGTTCGTTTTTAAGCTCCATATAAAAACAACGCTTGTTATCTTGGTGCTATGGAGGGGAGACAGGCCATCCCTGGCACTCACTGCTCAGCCAGCTTAGGCTACTTGGCCATTCCAGGCGAATGAGAGACTCAGTTTCACAAAGCAGGATGGATGGTGCCTGAGAAAGACTTACACATTTGGCCTCTAGACTCTACTGCACACATCAACGTGTGTCCTCGTAAAGATACATAGCCACATAAAAAAGGGAAATGAGATCCTTTTATTGTTCCCATTGTTAAATACTCCATTCCTCTTGGTTTATTTTGTATGCCTGCGTGTGTATGGGCACGTGTGTGGAGGTCAGAGGACAACTTAGGGTAGCTGGTTCTCTCCTTCCGCCATCTGGGTCCTGGGGTTGGGTTCAGGTGGTCAGGCTTGGCAGCAGGGGCCTTCTCCTGCCAAGTGTCTCACTAGCCTTGTTTCCAGTTTTAGCACAGACGCAGAGAAATATTCCAGTTGTTTAATGAAAGGTGTTCAGCTGCTGAAACCTTTCTTGACCCCTGAGAGCTATCAAAGGAGGAACCGCTACTTAGCGGATTTTTGTTGCTGTGAAGGGCAGTTAAATCCACTGGAACCAGCTTGGCAATTTGTTGAGAATGCTGTACTTTTATGTAAAAATTTAATTTATAGAAGCTGGCCCAACTAGTTTTTAGACTCTGCTCCAGCAACAATAGCCACCGGCAGGCTGGAGTCAGCCTGTGAGCTACTGTTTTAGTCCTGGCCCGGAGGATCTGATTTCAGCCCTTGCTGCTGTGTTCCCAAGTGGCTCCCCTCTGCTCTATTTATTTTGCCCGTTAGCCTAGTTCCTCTTGGACGTATTCTGTGGTTGCATGTGATGGTAAAACCCTTCACACGTACATTCCACCCGAGGCTCACGAGGCTGTGCTGGGTCTCTGAGGCTCACATCTCCCCATGTCTGACGGAGGCAGGAGAACGGAAGCCAGGCCTGGGGAGGGCTTTTGTGAGGCATTGGTGGGCTAGGTGTCTTATCGGGAATCTCACTGCTTAGTCACTCTTACTTCCACCCTGCAGTGACAGGGAGAGCTAGGTCACCCGTCCCTCGCGCTGCTGGCCTCCTCATTCCTTTATACTCTTGACTGTTCTTAGCATTTGATGTAATGCTCACCTCAAGGGATGGATTTGGATCAGATTATGTAGGATGGACTCTAGAACATCAGCATGCTGACCCCTAAACAAGGGTTTGAACCAAACAGGACATGGGGCCCATGTGACGGACTCCTTTGTCCTGGGAAGACAAGGTTCCTGTTGTATGTCGCTGCCGATCTGGTGGGGCAGGATCCACACACCTTGGATTTGTGCTGTATGTAGTCCGCTTCTTCTTATTCCTGGTTACGTTTAGTCTGAGAAGAGCTCTATTATGCCAGCAAACTCAGAGAAACTGTAGTTTTGACTTGGTATTTCTCATTTCTGCCTCAGTGCCATGCTTAACGATAGTCAGCTCTTAGTGTCATCCAGTGCACTCCCAGAGAAAATGTACAGTTTTACTTGATATACAATTGAATTCTATTCACATATGTTTGCTCGGCCTTGAGTTTGGGCACCTGTGGTGAGATTACTCGCTGTGTCTCTATGAACAGTAGCCTGAATATTTTTAGTTATCATAGCACACACAAAGTAGCTGGCATCCCAACTCACCCTTTATCCCAGCCCCTGAGGTGAGAACCAACTCTGTCCAGGTATAATTCCAGAATGTTCCCCCTCAGCTTCTCTACCAACTTTCTGCTTTTATCTCCAGATCGTTGGAAGACTCCGTCATCTATGTTACAGTCTAGGAGTATGGATGGATAGTTGTACATTAGGCCAGCCCATGATCAGTGGGTATCAGGGAGAGGAAGGAAACCATCCCCCGTTTCCAGTCTGAAAAAGAAATGATTTTGAGGGGCCTTCAAGCAGGTTAAGATGCAAGGTGGCCACTAATGTTCTAATGTTTCATGTCTACTGTGCTTGTGGCCTTAGGGTACCATCCCCACTCCTGAGGTAGACTTCTCACGGTTAGAGTGGACCTGTCCCCTGAGGTCACTTCTGGCCTTAGTTTGGGTTTCATTAGGAACAGCATCTGAAGCAGAGAATCTGGTGTTATGGGTTTATTCAGGACATGGAAACCCTCCTGGGGCACGGTTAAAGAGGCAGCGGAAAGAAGGGGACGTGAATTGCATTTCTGACCAAGCAGGACTGGACTAGATGGCGTAGATTCGCTGTTGCAGAGACTGATGAGGACAGTGAGCTCAGGTGGGGTGGAGGAAAGGGAAGTCAGAGGAAATGGAGGTGAGCCGCAGGGTGTTTGTCTTCCTAGGAGAGATCACTGGAAAGACCTGGTCTACACTGTGAGCCAAAGGGAATCATGTGGGCTAAGGATGCATCTGGACATAAAAAACAGATCTGTCAGGATTACTTCTGGATTTGATTTGCACATGAGAAAGAGAACAAGTTGAGAATGGCTCAACCTTTTATTTTTTATTTTTGTTAGAACAAGTGTGCGTGTGTGTGTGTGGTGTGTGTGTGTGGTGTGTGTGTGTGGTGTGTGTGTATGGGGTGTGGTGTGTGTGTGTGGTGTGTGTGTATGTGTGTGTATGGGGTGTGGTGTGTGTGTGTGGTGTGGTGTGTGTGTATGAGTGTGGTGTGTGTGTATGAGTGTGGTGTGGTGTGTGTGTGTGTATGAGTGTGGTGTGGTGTGTGTGTGTATGAGTGTGGTGTGTGTATGAGTGTGGTGTGTGTGTATGAGTGGTGTGTGTGTGTGGTGTGTATGTGTGTGGTGTGTGTGTATGAGTGGTGTGTGTGTGGTGTGTATGTGTGTGGTGTGTGTGTATGGGGTGTGGTGTGTGTGTATGAGTGTGGAGTGTGTATGGTGTGTATGTGTGTGGTGTGTGTATATGAGTGTGGTGTGTGGGTGTATGAGTATGGTGTGTGTGTGGTATGTATGTGTGTGGTGTGTGTGTATGAGTGTGGTGTGTGTGTATGAGTGGTGTGTGTGTGGTGTGTATGTGTGCGGTGTGTGTGTATGAGTGTGGTCTGTGTGTGTGTGTGCTCACAGGAATATGAGGAAGTGTTTGGTTTTGTGCATTCTCTGAATATGAGTCAGAAGTTGAGGGGAGCTGCCTTTGAGAATCACCAGTTCAGAAATGGGCTTGGCTTAGTGGTACATCCCTTGTTGTCCCAGACCTTGGGGTAGATGTAGAAAGATCCAGAGTTCAGAGTCATCCTCAGCTGAAGAATGATTTCAAGGCTAGCCTGGGGGATACAGGAAACCCTGTCTCAGAATACCCTTCACCCTAAAAAAGAGATTTCAGAAATGATGTAACCAGAAAATACTATAGAATGTGTCACGTTTTGTCCTTTGAACAGATATTTTGGAAAGATTTCTTTTGTCTGCTCGGAATGGTTACATCATTTTATTTAAGGAAAGTAAGTTTTTGAAAAGTTTTCTTTAACATTCTATTGTTTAAAATGAGTTTTTTTTTCCCATTGCAAAAGAAACAAACTGTAACATATTTCAAGTAAAAGTTTCTCTGTTCCCATACTTTACAATCAGCTTTTACCAGTAACATCCCTTGGCCGTAGTATAGTTAATGTTTAGAAAATTACAATGACCTTCCATAAGAAGAGGCCCAGGCTGAACTCTATGTCTTCCTTTGTTACTAGAGACAATAGATTCTCCTTGGGCAGCAACTGGGGTGGACCCCACTGTCATCAAGACTTCCCAGAGCCTCCACACCATTAGGGACAGATAAATAAGTGTTTCACAGAACTGTGATTTGGCTCAAGAGCTCCACTATGAAGTATGTGGCATGTCACTGAGAAACACTCCTGTTAGTGGTGGTTGACTCCCACCCCTGTGGTAGCTGTCCTAATTACATTCCTGGCCCGTGCTGAACCAGGCAGGGGTGGTTAGTGGAGAAAGATAAAGAAAGCTTAAATGATAGTTGGTTATTTTTTTATTTAAATATGTAAATTAATGCAGTGAAAGACAATCTAAGGTGATTCCCTATTTTTCCTTAGAGTCTCCCCAAACTGTGGGATTTTTATGCAGTTAGAGCATGTGAATTTTTATATAAGATAATTGACTGTCCTTTTGTGTTATCTGATACAGTAATTCAGTTGTATATTTAAAATAGACATTAGTAGGAAAATTTGCTTTCCCCTCTTGTTCTCGATTTTTGCAGGCTATTTTTATTCTATTTTCTTCTTGACTGTCTTTGACACCAGTGTCCCTCTTACTCCTGAAGGCACACTTTAGGCACCGAGCAGATAGATTTCCAGGGTCCCTCACTATCAGTGTGACACTGCCTGTAGTCAGCCGAGAAAAGAGTTTCAGTTGAGGATTGTCCAAACCAGACGGGCCTGCGCGTGTGTTGTGGGGGAATTCTTTTGACTGTTAGTTGATATGGGAAGACCCATCACCCTGTGGGCAACACCGTTTCCTGGGTGAGTTGTTCTGGGCTGCTTAAGGAAGTGAGTTAGCCACGAGCCTATGATTCAGCAAGCGGCATTCTTCAAGCTTTAGTTCTGTTTCCTGCCCCAACTTCCCTAGGTGTGTAAGCCAAACCAAAACAAACCCAAAACAACAACAACCCAAAACAAACAAGCAAAAAAAAAAAATCCCCAACCTTTCCTCCCTTAAGTCACTTTCGGTCACAGCAACATCTTTGCATCTCAGTCAACAGGAACACAGCCTTCTTAAACTGACGTCCTGTCCTGTCCATGGGCTGCTGGTTCTGTGTTGGGTCATAAACCATGAGTATCATCACACATTTTGTGAAATTATACTCGTGATTCAACGTGTCTTGTTTTCCAAGTGACTGGTGTGCTCAGGAGGATAGGTGTGCGTGCGTGGAGTGTGAACGTGTGGTGGTGGTGGGGACGACAGAATTTACTATCAGTGCCTTTTACTGCTCTCTGTCTCTCTCTGTCTGAGACAGGATCTCTCAGTGAACCCAGAGCTCACAGATGTGGCCAGTGAGCTAGCTGGATCTGCTTGTCTCCACTCTGGAGTTAGGTGGACACACTGCCATGTTTGGCTGTTTTATGTGATGTCTGGAGTCTGAACTCAAGTCGTCCTGCTTGTGTAGCAAGTGCTTTCCCCACTGAACCCTTTCCCCAATCCCTCAAGGCATTTTTTTAGTTCCTAATGATAACGTTTATCTATTTGTCATTGATAGAAATGAATACCCAACAGGTCTTTAACAAGCTGTTTGAGAAAGCATTGCTAGGTCTTAAGAGCAAACCTGCCAAGCTCCGGGCAAGGTGGTAAATGAAACTGCCTCAAAGGAGGGGGAAAAATCCAAAACAGAAAAATTAAAGACACTAGATAAAATGAACTTAAAAGAAAGAAAACCTTTCACGAAACAAAAAAACAAACAAAACCATTGTCACGAGACTCAGTGGATAGCCCAACATCCTAGAAGCTGTGAGGCAGGAGACTCATTCTAAACTCCAGGGCAGAATCAGAAGCATGCCCTCCCAAGTAAACCAAAGTAAACACCCCTGGAATCCCAGCATTTTTGCAGGCTGCGGGATTAAGGATCTGAGGCCATCTTCAGAGATGCTGAGTTGAAGATCGTCAGCCTGGGCTGCTTGAGATCTCTCGGCAAAGAGAAGCAAGGGGAAGCACAAGCATCCACCTCCAGATGAGGAATTCAGAGGTGGCCCCGGGGTCCACAGGATGCTCTCCCTGGAGATTGTCTGCCTCGCCATCTCAGGTCCAGCAGACAGTCTTAGCAAGGCTTCCAGAGCTTCGGGGAGTCTGGCGGTGCGGGAGGCTGCAGGTCTTGCAGTAAAAGCAGTTGTGACCTCTGACCCACAAGGCTCTCCGGCCTTGCCTGTGGCAGTGGGGGTGGAGGGTGAGGAGTGTAGGGGCGCTGAGTCCTCGAGTTCCCTGAGCCCCGAGTGTCAGCCCTTGGACACAGGTGCAGTGAGCTGCTCAGCTTGCTCTTCCTTGAGGTGGAGCCTACAGGCCAGGACCTTGCCAGCCTCCCTGCCTTTTAGCTCTAGGACAGCAGCTGGACTTGCTGTCCTCCTAGCCCAGGAATCTCCCATTATGACTGCCCCTCGGTTTGGGAGTTTCCCCCTCTGGTGATCATTAGAGACATTTGTATAGAAAGACCCAGGACTAATTTGTTAGGTCATATCCCGGAAACTGGTTCATGTACCAGGTCACTCCTTAAGAACTGAAAAGTGATTGTTTCCAGACGGCTGTGTGATCCCCAAATCGTGCGTTAATATTCCCAGTACAGCAATCGAGAGAGAACCTGAGTATATTAGAGTTATAAGAACTCGACCACACTCTTGGGAATGGGTACCTTTGACCTATGTTTGGACGGCTGTGGTAAACCCTTTCCAGCCCCTGGCCACGAGCTTACTTCTAATTGCTTTTATGACATTTTGCTCCGATGTGACCCCAGGACCTAAGGCAGCTGTTGACAGTGCTGTTCCATTGCTCCGGGGGAAACTGGAGTGTTCTGCTGATAGGCACAGTCAGCCATGACAAGTACGCTTGAGAATCTCTCTCTACTTTCACACCCGGGCTGCCACAGGCTGGAGAACTGGACAGACCTTGGGTAGGGCTGTGCTGATGTAGACTAAGAAGGCAGAGGGTCTATGAAACCGTGCTAAAAATGGTCTCGCTACAGGTGCACTGACCTGGCTTCTGCTTCATTGCGGGATCTTTATTTGCTCGATATTTATTTTTCCTTCTTGGTAATGAAAACTAAGATCTCCCACATCTTTGTCATTTGCCCTACCGCTGAGTTACATGCCTGTGGCCCCAGTTCTGAGTTTGAGAAATGTCAACCTGATGTAATGAGGAACACGCGTTCAAATCCCAGCTGCACTGATTTGCAAATGATGCTGTGGGGGGGGGGGGGGAAAGGGCGGCTGTTGGGGTCAGCGTGGTGTGTCAGTCAGGGCTGCAGGGATTGCATCTGTGCAGGGGAAAGGGCGGCTGTTGGGGTCAGCGTGGTGTGTCAGTCAGGGCTGCAGGGATTGCATCTGTGCAGGGGAAAGGGCGGCCGTTGCGGTCAGCGTGGCTGCTCCTGTGTTAGTCAGGGCTGCAGGGATTGCATCTTGCTTCAGAAACCATTTGGATTGTAAACAGGGTGCTTCTCTTCCTCCGGGTCTACTGCTACTGTAAGGCACGGAAAGGCTTCCCTTTTAATGTGGTCATTCTGTGACTGGCTCAAATGCAGCTTCTCTTGGGCGTATGAGGAGGTGGAAGGCAGGTGGATCCTTTTGTTTAGAGCCCCTGGACTACCACATATCCCCAAAGAAAGGAGCTGGGGACTCAAATTACAGCTTAGTGTCACCTCAAGAGCCATTATGATGCTGGCAGAGTTGTTCTCCTAATCCACGGCTGGTGTAAGCTGAGACATCAGGCATTCTTTCTCGTGGTGGCTTGAGAAAAAAGAATGCGTGCTATCCCAGTTGTTATGACTGCAATCCTCCTTGTCTATGCAGGATCAAAGTGCTTAACGTTGCTGGTTGAAATCCATCCTGTCAACCACGAGAAGGTTCTGAAAGCGGTGGATAGCTGTATCTGGGTACAGGTAAGTAAACCATCTATTACAGGTCTCGTTAATTGGAAGGTGTGGCCCTTGGGGAGAGAGGTACCTGTTCACAACGCACACAATAGCTCATTTAATCCTCTAAGCAGCTCCAGATGTGAAGGCTTAAGCATCAATGTTTCCCTCGTAAACACGGGCTGCACCGGCTCTGCTATACCAGATAGTAAGGCAATGTTTTCACACGATAAACCATCAAATATGAAAGTAACTCCGTGGTTGTTTATTTTACACATCCACCTGGTTGACAGAGCAATCATCTGGTTAACGGCAGTAAATTCCTGACTTTCCCAACACTGTGGGTTGCTACCGAAGCACTCGTGAACAGTGTGGGTAAACAAGTCATTTTCCATTGGAAGATTCCACACTTGTGTCTCCTTGTGCTTGTGAAGGGTTATTTGCAATTCAAAATGAACATTTGTGGCCCTTGACCAGGCATTGGCTGAGCAGGTGAGTCACCTGCTGGCCCATCCCTAGCTGAGATGATACCCTGCCTTTCTCCAGGCTTACACACGTTAAAGGGATGGTTATTCCACCCATGTCTTTAGCACGGCTTCTGGAGATGGTCCTTTGTTCCTGAGGGGCACCCCTTGACCAGGTCACGGACCTGTGCGCCTGGGTTAGCTCTTCTGGAGGAGACGGACACATTTTGTCTAGGCATGTCATTCTCTGAAGGGATAGCTCCTTGCTTTGAAGCTCTGAGCTCTACTGTCACGTGTGTGGTGCTGCTCACCTCAGACCTTCCCAGCCCCACTGTGCAGGGCGTCTCATCTGTGCACACTCTAGAAGTCATTCATAACGAGCCCTGTATTGTTTCTGAAGCCAAAGTTTATACTGCTATCTGTGATGCGGGGTTATTGCTGAGAAGAATGTCATATAGTTAATGGTTTGCTTTCCGGTTCTAGGAGTTCAACATGATGACTTAAGGAAGTTAGTCTGCTCTCCTTTTGACCTATTATGTAAAATAAAGGCAACAATAATAGACAGGCCAGTATCTGTGAAGTTAAGTCATACACATACATAGTTATGACCTTTTATAATGTTTTCCATTTTTGGGTCCCAGGGAACAACATTTACTGGTAACTCCTAGTAAATTGCTTTTCATGCTGTAAAATGAAGCTGTCTGTCACTTTTTAGATGATGAAAGATTGAGCGTTGACCCCCATCTCCTTCATCATCGCAGTTAACAGAGTCAACCGTGTGCTGGGGGCAGAGCCGCAGTGGAGAGCATGCTGTGGCAAAGCTTCTCTTCCCAGTGATAGCTAGCCTAACTCTGAGCCTTGTAAACCTTCAGCCATTGCCACATCATGACTCCCTGTTCTTTCTTGGAAAGTCCCTGGTTACACGCTTCTTTGTCTCTCAGATGTGGGAGCCTGGAAATTGCAGCCGGGACTGTTTTCATGGTTCCCAATTATATACTAGGTCTAGTTTCACAATAAATATACTGGCTGCCCTTTGGCTCTGCGTGAGATACAGCATATTGTATACATGCCATTTGCATTGCTTCTGATTGGCTGCATGATCAAATATTCCAAACAGGAAACATCATCCCTGGAGGTATCTTCCTCTTTGCCTTATGCTCAAAAGATTGGTGATAATGTACCTAGTACCAATCTCCCCCCCCCCCAGAAAACTGAGATCCTCAGAGCTTCCTCCCTCTACTTGCTTGACCTTTGACATATGTACTTGTGATTCCCCTAAAATATTCTGTGGTTCTCAGTTCCTTGCCTGGGATGTAGCCGTAACCATGGCCAAGCAACTACTGAAGTATCAGTGTAAGCTAAATAGTGGCTTATGATTTTTATAATTCCCTTCCCACAGTTCCTCTACCTACACGTTGAAGGCCGTCTTCTGCAGAACCACCTCTTACTGATTTCAGAAGAGAAATGTAAGTGTGTCTTTGGATAATGGATTGGCGGTGTGCGCACAGTCAGTCTCCTAGCGAAACCTGAAGACTGGTTAAACCGCTAGATATCTTTACCATTGCCCAGCGTCTGCTAACCTCTGTTGTCCACTGGAGACCTAGAATTCCTTTTCCTTCCCCAGCCCTTTCTTTAACCCCCACTCAGTTTCCTTGTCTCGGGAGAGGAATACCTTGTGCATGCACAAACCGGTAGAACAGTTACACTGTTTCCTTTAAGATGCCTGTCTGTTGGAGCGGATGGCTGTGGTCCAAGCGTAAGGGGCTTGGATGGAGAGAAGGAACGGAAGGCTTGGTCACTAGAAGAATTCCAGGGCAGATCTAAAGTACACAGTAGCATGACCCAACTCAAGTAGAAATGGTGCAAGAGGTCATGGCCTTTCGAGATGTTTTCAGTTTCGGGAAGGAGTACAGACAAAAATCCATTAATACTTACGAACAAGCAGTCTTTCATGTTGTGAGGTGAAACTGGGTTCTCTTACGTTTGGAAGAGCAGGTTGCATTATATTTGTATTTAGTTCCTGCGTTTTGGGTCAGTTTTTGGTACCGTGTTTTGTCTTGCAGTTAGAGCCAACAGAATATAGATTGTTACTCTTACTACAATTTGAATAAAAGTAGTACAGCTTTTGTTCATGTGATGTAGCCCCTAAAAATGCCTCTTGTGTGTGTGCATATATATGTAATATATATACTTATATAATATATATACTTATATTAATACATATATGTATTGGGGAATTAGAGGTAAATTCACTAATGAGGCTCTCATTAGTCTTATCTAAGATGGATGATACAAGAGTAGCAAGCACTTGTAAAGGGAAGCAAAGCAACAGAGGACCAGGTGATTCCTGGATTAGAACACTAAAGAGTGAACATGGGTCAGGAAGGTCACTGTCAGGGGAACTGTGGGTCAGGAAGGTCACTGTCAGGGGAACAGTGGGTCAGGAAGCTCACTGTCAGGGGGACAGTGGGTCAGGAAGTGTCATGGGATCCCTGTGTATGACAGTGTACTTTTCTACTGGTTTATAACTATTAGAAAAACAGTAATTTTTTTCCAGAATGGTAAATTATTTTTTGGTTTATATTTTTCAGATATTGAACAGTTTCACATCCAGATTGCCAGAGAAGATGGAAACAGAGTGGTAAGGAATGACATCCTTCTCCTTCAGAACTTTGTTTTAGACTTCTGAGGACAGATGAACCCCACTGACATTTTTTGGTGTCTTTTGAATAATAGTCTTACTCTCATGACCTATGAAGCAAAAAAAAAAAAAAAAAAAGGTGGAGGAGTTAGTGACCCCCCTGATCTCACACCCACTGGGCCCTGAGTCTCTCCATGGTCTTGCTTGCTGGTGCAAACCTGTCCAAGGTTAGATACACACATAGGCGAAACTTTTTTAATCAAATAGAATCATAACATAATACATTTAATCTCTGCCTTTGTGTTTGCTGTTTGACTTATTGTATCAGGATATAGGTTAGTAAGTAGAAAAGTAACTAATTGTATTTCTTTAATTTTTAACATATAAACATTGCAAATAGGACCGTGACTTCGGTGTCCCTCCACTCCCCTTTTGTCTGGCATGTGTCCTTTCACATCTTCTTCATGTTTATCAGCTCATGTCGATTCCACGTTTATCTCCACAAACCCTGCTTGGTCTATTATTAACTGGCTGTGTAATTATCTAGAAGCTAGCTAGAATAGCTTCAATGTGTTTTCTGAGGAAGTGAGTGGCAGTTCTCAGCATGGTGTCTGTGATGTTTCAGCCATTCTGTGTTTGGACCTTAGCATGTTGTGCCTTGCTTACACCTTCACATGTTGGTATGGTCACCTCTTTGGCCTCGATCCTCAGATTTGGATGACTGGGTTGATGGGATGTGCACTTAGTAACTTTTGGGAGGGTTTGCTAGTTGTGACTCACAAAACTAGTTTTACAAGCAAAGTGTGAGGGTATCAGGTAAATTCACCTTTAACACTTCCCAATTTCGTGGGTGTGAACTGATATCTTACTGCCGTATTAATCTATATTTTTTTACTGTTTTTTCAATTTGGGCAACTTCTCTGTGTACTGGCTATTTAAATTTGCTATTAAGAAAATTTATTGATTTTATCCTTGTTTGTTTTTCTACTTGGTGTTCTATAACTTTAGATATAGCATAGATATTGAAATGGTTTTACTCATTGTTTAGCCTGTATAAGAGAACCTTTAATTTTACACTTATTTGTTGTGATTTGTGATATGTGTGCTTGTGTGCATTGTGTGCACATGATAGTGCATGTGTGTGCACATGAGTCTTTGTGTATGCGTGTGCATGAATGCAAGTGTACGTGTGTGTGCACGTGAGTGTGTGTTCATGCATGAGTGTGAGTATATATGTGTGTGGGCAAGTATGTATGTGCATGTGAGTGTATGTGTTTGAATGTGACCAGTGTGTGCGTGTCTGAATGCATGTGTGCATGTGTGTGCTTGTGTGTGCATACGTGTGTACGAATGCATGTGTGCATGTGTGTGCTTGTGTGTGCATACGTGTGTATGAATGCATGTGTGCACGTGTGTGCTTGTGTGTGCATACATGTGCATGAATGCGTGTGTGCGTGTATGAATGCATGTGTGTGCTTGTGTGTGCATACGTGTGTATGAATGCATGTGTGCGTGTATGAATGCATGTGTGCATGTGTGTGCATACGTGTGTGTCTGAATGCATGTGCGCACGCGTGTGTGTATGAATGCATGTGTGCATGTGTGTGCGTGTGTGAATGCATGTGTGCGTGTGTGTGCTTGCGTGTGCATGTGTGTATGTGTGACATGTCATGGGATGAGTATGGAGATCAGAGAACTTTTACCCTGTGGATTCCAGGGATCAAATTCAGGTTGTAAGGCTCAGTGGCAGGGACCTTTACCTGACAGCCCTCAAAATAATCTTCCTCTGAGAATGTGGATGTTTCTCTGAAGACGTTAAAGTTATATGAACGAAACAGAAGTGACATTTACTAACCTTGTAGCTACCATTGAAAGCCTCGGGAAACCAAGCAGGCCGTGTGGGTGTGGCTCTGGCTGGTGGTGACCCACAGAGGAGGGGCAGTGTTTGGATCCCGAGGACAGCTATGAGAACTTGGAGGAGGAAGTTCAGCACGCGTATTAGATGGGAATGAGCAGGGACTGAAGAAAGTGTCGGATCATTGGGGGTGAGGGGAGGGGCTCCTTCCGGCTGCCCAGACAGCGTCCTGCTGACGAAGATGGCCCAGCTTTAGTGTTTCTCCATCCTCTGCTGCCCCTTGTGGGCACCACTTCTGCCCACACAGAAGGCTTTAGCAATGGCTTCTCGTAAGGGTGTTCGATTCCCCGTTTGCCACAACATCCTTAGGTGAGGGAGGTGGCGCTGTGGCTCCGTCTTCTAACGGACAAACGGAGTGATGCCACCCCAGAGGGACACAGTGGATATTTTAACGTGCTCAGCCAGAATCTGATGCTCATCTTGTCATCATATGGCTCTGGCTGGAAAGATTCCCAAACCTGTTCCCCCAAACCAGAATTCATACGCGTAGAGACGGTGTGGATATGGAGGATACCGAAGGCGCTCTAAGATCTTTGGCATCGCTTCCCACGGCCTAGTGGCTGTGGACCCAGCAGAGGAAGAAACAGAGCTGGGTGTATATGTGTGTGTATTTTGTGTGTGTGCATGCATGTGTATACTGATGTGTGTTTGTATGTTCATGCTGGTGTGTGTGTTCATTGATGTATGTGTGTATGTGTGCTAGTGTGTGTGTGCATGCATGTGTACACCGATGCATGTTTGTATGTTCATGCTGGTGTAAGTGTTCATGTATGTAAGTGTGTATATATGCTAGTGTGTTATACTGATGCATGTTTGTATGTTCATGCTGGTGTGTGTGTTCATGTATGTATGTGTGTATATGTGCTAGTGTGTGTATTCATGTGTATACTGATGTGTGTTTGTATGTTCATGCTGGTGTGTGTGTTCATGTATGTATGTGTGTATATATGCTAGTGTGTGTGTTCATGTATGTATGTGTGTATATATGCTAGTGTGTGTGTGTATGTAGGCCAGAGGTCAAACTTGGGTATGATTCCTCAGATACCATCCACCTTCTATCTTGAGACAGGGTCTCTCACTGGCCTGGGGCTTCCTATTAGGATACACTGGGCAGGCAGCTGGTCTCAGAGAACCTCCTGTCTGTGTCTCCCCAGTCCTGGGATTACAAGCACAAGCACTGTGCCTGGCTTTCTCTGTGGGTCTGGGGGTCAACCTTAGGGTCTCTCATGCTGACAACACAGCATTTAACCAACCGAGCCATTGCCCATGCCCTGGAAAGCGAATTCTTAGCCCCTTCTGTGAAGCCATTGTAAAATCTGCTGCTCTGTAAAAGAAAGTTCTAGCAAAATACCAGGTGCTGGGACGCGGTTCTGGTGAACTAACTTCACAACCTAATCTAACATCTCTGGGCCTCAGTTCCCCCTTGAGTTCACTATGTGGCCAGTAATGATTTTAAGCTTCTGATCGTCCCAAGTGCTGGGAACATACTCACGTGCTGGGAACACACTCTTGTTCCGGGAACACACCTGTGTGCCAGCAACACACTCATGTTCCGGGAGCTCACCCATATGCTGGGAACCACACGCATGTGCTGGGAACACACTCACATGCTGGGAACACACTCACGTGCTGGGAACACATTCACGTGCTGGGAACACACTCACGTGCTGGGAACACACTCGTGTGCTGCAGGGCCTGACTTACGGGGAGCTGGAGACTGGTGCTTCCTGCCCAGTAGGCAAGGGCTGCACAAGCTGAGCTGTGTCCCCTGCCCCATTCCTTTGATGTTAAATCTCTATTGTCCTTTGAGTTTAAACAAACACTTTGCATCAATATATTCTTAATGTACTCTTATTTCGTCTTCCTTCATCTATTGAAGCAGTCCTTGGGCAATATTAAATTTTAGAACCACTCAAGGCACGAGTCAGCAGAGGTCCCTGGAGGTGTGCACGCTCACTGGGACAGTTATAGTGCTAAGGTGTAACTATAGAAGCACACAAAGCCCCACAGGAACACACAGCCAAGGAACTTTGCTTTTGTATGGGGATTCTGAGGTTTTGGTCAAAACTCAAAATCCTAGTTAGCTCTTGACAGCTAAGAGTCAAGCATTGCTGACGGGTAGGCAATGCCACCCATCACCCCTGTGGGGCACGTAAAGGAAAGACTATGACCAACGCCACCAGCTGGTGAACGGCTCAGCTGGGCCATTACAATGCTCTCTGTTAGGCTTGCTGCTTCCTTGACATCATGAACCTTTGTCTTCAGAGGTGAAGGCTTTTGTCTCTGGAGACCTGACCGAAGGAGTGTGATTACAACAGGATGCCATACACGTTCTGTTAGTACAGACGTTTGTGGAAGGCGTGGCCTCTGCCAACCTGCCTGTTATGCTAAGAAGAACAGAGAACAGGGTACTGGGAAGAGGCGATGACGCCTTAAATATTCTGTAGGAAAACCATGTATGTTGTGGGGGTGGGGAGGTGTTAACACTAATGTACGGGTATATACATGTATCATAGGGAAAGCGTGTGCATAAGTAATGACTTAGGTTGTCATTTTTAAAAATACTTATAAAATCATTTTTACTCTAGGTAATTAGAAATTCTATCCACTTCCCAAGAGACAGAATAACTGAAGATTTTGTTTGGGCTCAATGGGATATGTCAGAGCAGAGATTATACTACATTGAACTGGAGGTAAGAGTCAGCCCATTGGTACCTGTTTCTATAGAAACAGTATAATTTTGACATCATTACTTTAACAATGTGTGCCTTAAATATGTTTGAGATTTATTTTTTTTATTTAATGCATATGGGTATTTCATCTGCATGTACATCTATGTGACATGTATGTATAGTGCTTGCAGAGGCTAGAAGAGAATGTTGGATCCCCTGGGGCTGAGTTACTGGTGGTTGTGAGCTACGATGTGTGTGCCAGGAACCTAACCCAGGTCCTCTAGAAGAGCAACCAGTGCTCTTACTCCCTGAGGTGTTTCTCTAGCCTGTGCTATAGGTTTTTAATAACTACAGTGTCATTAATTGGAACTGCCAATGGAGATTTATTAAAGACAACACACAGGTTTTATTTTTATGGCTTCTTGACTGTTTTTTCTCTTCAGCTTTTTTAATTTTTGGAGATAAGATGTCAAGCATTTTCTTTTCTAGAAATCAAAGAGTGTCTTGAAGTGCATCCAGTTTTGGGAGGACGAAAGCTTTAATTTAATGGTAAGTAGATAGAATGATCTGCCCAGACAATTTTACTAGAGTTGAAACCATAAGCAAAACTTTTGACATTTTGATATTGTGTCAGTCATTTGCATGATCCAATAACTTGGTTTCTGCTGTCTTGAGGCTGCATCTCTCTGACAGATGCACAGTTGATGCAGGAGCAGAGGACAGCATACACGGGGTGGGGAGCTTTTAAAGCACCCGCACTAAGAGGTGCTTAGAGGAAGGTGATAGATGTGGTCCAGAGTAGATTGCACTAAGTGGTTGCACGTTGTTTGACTCAAAAGGAAACATGAATAGAATGGGTTTGAGGATGAGGAAAGGGGTCAGTCAGAGTGTACAGTTTAGTAAGTGTCTAGCGTCTGTCTGTCTATGGTAAGGCACTACACTGCTTTATCTGGGATAGAGAGTATTTCCTTTCTGAGGACCAATTTTGCTATCAAGCACATATTGGTTTCACACTATTACAAGACTTTCTTATCTTTCCTGCCCCATTTTTAGTTCACCCACTCTAAAAGATACCCCAGGCTTCCTTCCATCCATGACTGTCTGTCCTGTGAACGGTTGTTGCTGTTAATTGTCCTCCTGCACAACTGTCCATGATAGTCATTTAAGGCACAGTTGGCCGTGTAGGCAGGAAGCATGCACTAAATGTCTGTAAACTCCAGAGCATCCTCAGTAGACTCCTTGCCCTGTGGGTTTTGGGCTCACCCTTGGAGAAGATGCCCAAGTGTTCTCTTTATCACCAGACCAGCCGAGCACTGGCAGCTGGCTTTGCATTTCACAACTGTTATCATGTAATGCCATTTTTTTAACTCTTTTTTTTTGAGGTTATAATAGAGTTACAAAATTTCTCCCTTCCCTTTCCTCCCTCCAAACCCTGCCAATACCCCTCCCCATTCTCCTCCAAATTCATGGCTTCTTCTTTCATTAATTCTTATTTATGCAGATATGAATATGCATATACATGTCTGTGTAATGTTACTTATTGTATGCACATATAGCTATGTGTACACATTTTGTGTAATGTTACTTATACACGTATATGGCTATGTGTACATATTTGCATATGCATGTATGACTATGGATACACATTTGAATATGCACGTATCACTATGAGTACACATTTGTATACTCATGTATGGCTATGGGTACACATTTGTATACGTATGTATGGTTATGTGTACACATTTGTTTATGCAGTTTGACTATGTGTACACATTTGTATACTCATGTATGACTATGTGTGCACATTTGTTTACGTATGTATGGCTATGTGTACACATCTGTATATGCATGTATGACTATGGGTACATGTTTGTATATGTATGGCTATGTGTACACATTTGTTTATGTATGTATGACTATGTGTACACATTTGTTTATGTATGTATGACTATGTGTACACATTTGTATATGTATGTATGGCTATGTGTACACATTTGTATATGCATGTATGGCTATGTGTACACGTTTGTATATGCATGGATGACTATGTGTACACGTTTGTATATGTATGCATGACTATGGGTACACATTTGTATATGTATGTATGGCTATGTGTACACATTTGTATATGCATGTATGGCTATGTGTACACATTTGTATATGCATGGATGACTATGTGTACACGTTTGTATATGTATGCATGACTATGGGTACACATTTGTATATGCATGTATGGCTATGGGTACACATTTGTTCATGCATGTATGACTATAGGTATACATTTGTATATGCATGTATGACTATGTGTACACATTTGTATATGTATGTATGGCTATGTGTACACATTTGTTCATGTATGTATGGCTATGTGAATTCTATTTGCATGATTTAAGAGCTGGCCATTTGTCACTGGACAGTCAATGGATACACTCTTCTCTGGGGAAGACCTGTAATGTCATTTTTAATGCTGATATCCTCATTTTTTTTGGCAGTTTGAAATGCCCTTGGACATATCATTGAGTGGCTTAAGATTTAAGTAAGTTACCCACAGGATATTTAATTTCATAGACATTTGTAGATAACAAAATGATGACATCTTTTCCTAGTTGTGATAGTAGATACTGGAATGTCTGATATTTTGTGCATCTATTTTAGGATTTGTTTTATTTTTATTTTACATGTGTGGATGTTTAGCCTGTGTATATATCTGTGTACCATGTTTTTACAATGTTTGCAGAGGTCAGAAGAGGGCATCAGATCCCCTGTACCTGGAGTTACAGAAGGTTGTGAGCTGCCCATGTGGGTGCTGGGCATCAAACCTAGGTCCTGTTGAAGAGCAGCTAGTGCTCTTAATATCTGACCACTAATCTGCCTAGTCCCTTGTGGATCTATTATTAGTGTTCCCATTCTTTACAGAATATAGGTTGACTTATCAGTGGATTCAGGATTTCATGTATAAAGCCAATTGTTTTTTTTTTAATTTATTTATTTATTAAGGATTTCTGCCTCGTCCCCACAACCGCTTCCCGTTTCCCTCCCCCTCCCCCGATCAAGTCCCCCCCCCCTCATCTGCTCGAAGAGCAATCAGGGTTACCTGACCTGTGGGAAGCCCAAGGACTGCCCACCTCTATCCAGGTCTCGTAAGGTGAGCATTCAAACTGCCTAGGCTCCCACAAAGCCAGTACGTGCAGTAGGATCAAAAACCCACTGCAATTGTTCTTGAATTCTCAGTATTCCTCATTGTCCGCTATGTTCAGCTAGTCCGGATTTATCCCATGCTTTTTCAGACCTAGGCCAGCTGGCCTTGGTGAGATCCCAATAGAACATCCCCATTGTCTTAGTGTGTGGGTGCACCCCTCGTGGTCCTGAGTTCCTTGCTCGTGCTCCGTCTCCTTCTGCTCCTGATTTGGACCTTGAGATTTCTGTCCGGTGCTCCCGTGTGGGTCTCTGTCTCTGTCTCCTTTCATCGCCTGATGAAGGTTAATATTCCTGAGGATGCCTATGTGTTTGTCTTTGGATTCACCTTATTTAGCTTCTCTAGGAACATGAATTATAGGCTCAATGTCCTTTATTTATGGTATAAAGCCAATTGTGATGATTTCCTTAGCCATGGATTTCTGTAGGGCACCTGCTTTTACTTATATGTATGGAAGTGCTTATCTCCCTGTGAGTAAGCAGAAGGTTCTCTGAGTCAGCCCGAATGCATTTAGCTCACACATCAAATGCTTTTTTACTGCCGGCAAGATCCCAGGTAAACCCACTTGTAACTCAGCCCGGTTTCTTGCTTTGTTTCTTTCTGTTTTCCTCTTTACACAAAAGGCAAGATTTTTCTTTTTGGAGAGTATTTTATGTGTAGTAAAAAGCAAAAGCATTTGAAAAAATAAGACAAAATAGAGTACATCAAAGGTCAGAAGAAAAAAAAAGTCTTCCAAAGTTAGAGTAACGGCAGTCCCAAACTGTTCAGTTTCTCATCGACTTTGGTTAAACATACGTGGATGTTTAATTGTGCCTATTTATGGCAACAGAGTGCTGAAATATATCAAAAGCGTTTTTCTGCGTCTGTGAGAGTGCCGTAGTGGTTATAGCGTGTATGAGGAGAACACCTCTTTACATGCATTCAATAATTTCTGTTCCTTTATAACCTTAGGTTTGTCAACTTTGGATATGATTATCATCAAGACCAAGAGAAATCATGGAACCAGCCTTCTCTTTGCATTTTTACCAGCCACACAGGTAGAATCAGGATTATCCTTACCGTTTTTAATTAACTTGAATTCTATACAAACTGCAGATATTTATTGTTCTACTATGTGAAGCCCAAATATGAACTATATCAGCCACATTATTAAACAATGAAATGGATATTATATGTACATTTATAATTACCTTCTCCACTATGATTTTACCCCTTTGTCACTGAGCAGGGAACTTAGGGCTCACAGCTATTGGCAGAAGGGGAGTGACTCCTCTGTCCTTCCACTATGATTCCATACATATTTGTATTAAGGAGAAAAAGCCACCACTAACAGGGTGATTGATCCAGTAGGTTTTACTGATGTGATTTTAGTAGAGAAGGTGGATTCATATTTATCCAATGCAAGCTTTCCCACAGGAGGTGCTCTCTGTGTCAGCCTTACTGATATGTAGGGGTCAAATCATTTATTTATTTTTACATTGTTTTCCATGCTTTGTATGTCTGTGGGCACATGGGCACATGTGTGCCATTGCATGTATGCGTGTGGAAGCCAGAGGACAGATTGTGGAAGGGATTCCTTCAGCATGTGACCTCTAATATTAGGTTCATGTCTCAGGCTTGATGGTCAGTACTTTACCCACGGAGATATCCCATGGTCTGTGTACCTGGACATGAATGCGTGTGGGATCTAAGCCCGTGTACCTGGACATGAATGCGTGTGGGATCTAAGCCCGTGTACCTGGACATGAATGCGTGTGGGATCTAAGCCCGTGTACCTGGACATGAATGCGTGTGGGATCTAAGCCCGTGAACTCTACGTGATGGGCTGCTATCCCATGTATCTGCACATAAATATATGTGACAGTCTGCTGTTCTGAACGTCAGAGCTTGACCATGCATGTTTATGTAGAGAACATGGGGAGGGGGGAAAAGGAAATCTAAACACGAAAGAAGAGAAATATGATTATATGTAATCAGTCTCATGAGAAAGCATATCAAGTTCAATGAACATCTAAAGCAACCCCGAAAACAAGGCATCCTAACCACTTTTAATAAACTATGTGAGCAGATAGTTACTTCTTGAGCACAAGTGTTTTTGAATTGAAATCACCTACTCCTTGCAAATATATATATATATAATTATTTAAATAAAAATCAGATGCTATGCACACATTAATCTAACCATATGCTAAGGTTTTCAAAATATTTTATTTTATTTTTAATTGAGAATAAGTGTTTCCCTCTGTGTGTGTGTGTGTGTGTGTGTGTGTGTGTGTGTGTATCTGTGTGTGGTTATGTGCACGTGGGTGCAGGTGCCTGTGGAGACCAGAAGAGGGCAGTGGATCCCCCTGGAATTAGAGTTACTAGAGTTACAGGAGGCTGTGAAGCAGCCATTGAGGATGCTGGGAACTAAACTTTGCTCCTTTGCAAGAGTAGTTAAGTACTCTCAAGCACTCTTAACTACCAAATTATCTCTCCAGTCTCCTATGCTAAGTTTAGGCAACACAGTGCAGAGCAAACATGACCTGACCTTTAGTAGAGGTTTCTCTTGGTGAAGATTTTAGACATTTCATAAGTGCACACATAATATTCAAATAGAGCCATGATGAATGTCATGAATGAGTATTACGGGAAGCTGGGAGAACTTACGGTGAATTTTTAATGGGAGATAGAGTTTTCAATATGTTCTGGCTTAATAGGTCATCTCTGTTTCTCCCTCTCTCCTGGTCGTTCCGTTCCCCTTCTCCTTTAGTCCTGAAAAGTGCTCCTTTCCTTCCCCATTCCCACACAATAGTCCCATTGTTTATCCTGTCGATCCTGGTCTTCCTGAGCCACGCGTGTCCCCCACCAACCAGTCCCGGTGAAGTCAAAGCCTGTGCTACTTCAGTTGGAAACTGTGAATGTTTCCCACTGTGAATGATGAGCAGCGAGCAGGGGTGGGGAGGAGAGGGGCCGCCCGAGACAGGTGACAATGTCGGCAGGGATAGACGAAGCGGGTAGGGCCTTGCAGACCATGAAACCTTTTAGATTTTATTCTAAGATTTATAAAACGTCATAGAAGACTTTGTCTTATCACAATTATGTTCATACTTCTCAAGCATATAAAATAATAAAAATATAATGAAGACCTATATGTCTTGTTTAATCATATAATTTTCAGTGTGTGGAGGCAGATAAAGTCATAGACACTCAAGAGAGAGGCAGCAGCAGGAAGTAGACACAGGACTTAGGGTTTTTATGTAGACTGATGTTTTGCCATGTGCCTAGAGTCCCCTGGAACTGGAGTTACAGACCGTTGTGAGCTGCCATGTGGGTGCTGAGAATTGAACCCTGGTCCTCTGGAAGAGCAGTCAGTGCTGTTAATGGCTGAGCCATCTCTCGAGCCCCAGGATTGTTTTTTTTAAAGTCCAGTTGTTTAAGTGGGATGGAGAGGGTAGGTCCTTCCCTGCCTGTCACCACCTCAGCTTTACTTCTCCATGGGATTTCCCTTTCTGTTTTATTCAGAGGAACTTGATATGAACGCAGCAACCATAACTTCCAAAAGGGCTACTACAACTTGTTTAATAACATACTGAGTTCATCTGGCACGAGACCTAGAATGTCTCCCTTTCTTGGCGATGCCCAAGGGGGTAGAAAATGGGCCTTGTTCTTCACAGTCTGCTTTGCAGTAGAAAAAGTAAGTCTGTTTTAAGAGTGATAAAACAAGCTGCAGAAGCATTTTTTGTTGTCTTTTTTTTTTTTTTTGCGTTCCAGGTTACCTGTTTCCATTGTTTTTTTTTTTTTTTCCAATTAGGTTTTAAAACGATGTCTTGCCTTTGTGGTTAAAATAAATAAGAGTGTGGGGTGGCTAGGCAAGTTGGCGAGAGAATCCAGCCTATAGGCCAGAGTAAATACCAGATGGTTCATTAAATACACTGCAGAAATTGCAGTGAGATGGACGTAGCAGAGGAACTGTGCGTGTGGTGAGCTGCAGGCTCTCCGTTTTGGAGCGAGCCACTTCGCATGCAATTTCTTGCCATGGAATTAGCAGCTTGCAAATGGGAGGAGTTCTGTGATCTGGACTTGCGGGTAATTTTGTACGGCCATACCATTCAGCTGTTTGCTGTTTAGGTGGAATGGAGCCGTGGTTTTCCGGTTTGGGGAGCTTTCTGGACCGAACTTCCCTTTCTAGGCTCCCCATCATGGCCTTTCCCCACTGAGGTCTTTTCCAGTAAAGTAATATTAGAGAAAGGTGCAAAATTGCCTAATCCGAGTGTAGCTCCTCCGGGATAGTGTGGGTCTGGCTGGGCCTTGAAACCTGGAAACATGGGTTGAGAAAGGGACACGGGATGGATTCAGGGCCCTGCGCATGCCCCGTTTACTTCTCCTTTCTGAGACGATGGTGACTTGATGATCTTGACGGCATCCATCACTCCTAGGGCCTCGAAGCTTCTGTGTCTCCTCAGCATTGGATTTATGCTCTTGAAAGCTTCTTTGACCTGCATTTCCCTGCCCCAGGAAGTGAGCTGAGTCCCTTCCAAGGCACGGAAGGCTAAAATCTGAGTGATGGGTGTTCTCCTGAGATTTAACGGAGGGCAGAGTCCTCTCGCTAGTGTGTAAGGCCACTTGTGAGCCAACTTACGAGTTCGTGCAAACACTTCTAGTGTATCTGTCACAGAAGGAGGCCAAACAAAAATCACCTCCACATCTGCTGGTCAGCGCTGACTAGGCGGTATGGTTAGACCGTCATGGGGGGGTAAGTTAGCTGCCCGCCTTCTGAGCACCACTTCCTGGGAGGTAGCCAGTGGCGGTTGCCGAACCTACTGCTCGCTCTTACGATGGCAAGTTCTCAGAATTAGGCCAGCGTAGGAGCATTCCATAGAGCCCCTACATAGCTGATCCAGTGAGATGATTTCCTTGGAAAACTTGTCTGGAATAGTTCTCATTGTCTAAATGATTCCCAGAGGTGAGCCAATGTGGAGATGTTATCTTCATCGCTGACGAGTATTTACTAAAAGTCTCTGGATATTACATTAAGAGTGTGTTTTGGTTTTTCGAACTGTGACTTCCTCCATCTTATAAATAGCAGCCAAACTGTTCTGGAATAATAATAATAACAGCTAACTTTCAGAGTCAGAGGTAAGTATTTTTGCCAGAGATTTATATAGATTATTTGATTCTCACATATGAGCCTTAAGAAATAATTTCTATATTTTTTTAAATGTACAGACAAAGAAACTGAGGCTTAGAGAATTAACTGCCAAATTAGTGTGCTCTATAAACCAAGAGCTTGGGAGACAGAGGGACAAGGACCCAGGCAAAGCTGGCCCCATGTCAGAATGAATTCTGGACCCACCGGGCTGTACTGAAAAACTCTGTTAAAACAAAGCAAAACTGGATTCGGGATGCTTGGCCAGGAGAGTTTATTTTAGACTCTAAAGAGCCTAAAACATGAAACACTTGTGGTTTGGGCATTTTTAATGAGGGATTCTCAACCAGATCATTTTGAGCAGCTTGTCTTTGTTTGTAGGTAACTGACATTAGCTACTAGAAATAATATAGCGTTTTACAGACTGAGAGAGATGGGGAGGTTAGTGACGGTGGAAATGCCACACTAGGTGTTCACCCTTGACGTGGGCTCAAGCCGCCAGGCACCCAGCCTTGATGAGTATGGCCTCACATATTGTATGTATTTACTCCCATTCCTCATAGGAAAGGTTCATAATTTGCATCTCAATCTTGCTTACAAATACCGATGTCTTCTATTAAAAAACACAGTTTGGATAGCTGGAGTCCGGAGCTCTGAGAGGTGGTGAGAGGGGCCGGCCAGGTAGAATGACAGACAGTGTGTGCACATTCATCAGAGTTTCAGGAAGGTGGGGCTCCTTCCAGGCTCCTGCAGCTCCCCGGGTAGAGGAATGGGTGTTTGTTCACTTCCCACCGTCCCCAGCCTGCCCAGTGCACAGCCTACAGCCGGATGACAAATGCTGATTTCAGATGTCATAGCAACTTTTACTATGACTTTGTGAGTCTGGGATGATGGATGAAGTAAGATGGGAAGGGACACCTAGAAACAGAAGCGGGTGAATAACAACTTGTGAAATTTATTGTATAGATGGGTTTAAATGTTATTAAATACTTTCTTTTTCCTAGGGGGCTTGTGTGTGTGTTATAGCCCAAAGTTCGACTCTGGGGAAGAAGTCACATACTCCGTGTTTTATCTTCATAAAGGTACTTTCTAGTTTGGTCTCTTCGACTTTTATCTTTCACTTTTTCCAAACAGTAACAAATTAGATAAATGGCGAACATCTTAACACTTACCAAACAATTTTATCAGTTTACTTTATGATTAACTGTGTGGTTATGTTTTATGAAAAATTTTATTAACGGTAACTAGTAAGATAGGTGACTTTTGCACTACATATTTTTATCCCAGCGTGTGGTTTATTCTAAACTATAGACCATTTCTAATGGATGCATTTTCCAAAGTGTATTGGTTTGACATTTTAGTTATTAATCTTTACCTTTAGTTCCCATAGTTACATAGGAATTTAGTTAAAATCTTCTTTGATCTCAATTGTAAACAGGCTGACATTCCAGAATATGCTACGCCACCAAACTCAGATATTAATTTATTTCACATGTGTGTGGCCGTGATGCCGGCATGCACCATTCTGGGGAGCAGGATGAGGTTGCTGCCTCTGAGCTCCCAGCGCGCTCGGCGATAGTTTCAGTTTGAACCATGCTAAGGAGGATTTTTGCTCCTTTGTTTAATTCCTTACAAATCTACAGTTGCGCCAGACAGTGGCGCGCACCTTTAACTTCAGCACTCAGGAGACAGAAGCAGAGGATCTCTGAGTTTGAGGTCAGCTTAGTCTATACAGCAAGTTCCAAGCCAGTCAGGACTACAGAGAGACCCTGCTTCGCCCTCCCCCCAATTATTTTTATATATTTGTAGAGTATTTGTTGTGAGTGTGGCTGAATTTTTTTTAAAGCTGGAATTTCCGTTCCAGACCTCAATGTCTTTTATGCCAAGCCACAAAGAAGTTTAGAATCCTGCAGTAGTGCCTGATGTTATAGGGTGTTAGAAATCAAGGCAGAGATGTTTATGGGTTTTTTTAATGGAACAGCTAAGGTAACTTCAGTACTTAGTGTAGACATATTCTTAAGCAGCGGAAGCTTATGCAAGACATTTTTTGTGTGTGTTTCTAATAATTGATATGATTCCAGCCAGCACAAACACTGAGTCAGAAGAGTAGAGTGAAGACCAACAGTTTTATAGGCGGCTTAATCCCCCTAGGCATGGGTCTGTGATCTGCAGAACCCTTAGAAGGTTGGTAAAAACCGTAGCGTGTAGGAGCAAGCTGAAATGACCTCCATCTTAGATCACCGAGTAGACCCCATGGACCCTCCTCTCCCTACACAAGCCTGGGTTTCTGCCTGGGCTGGGACATCTGCTTTACTGTGACTGCCCTCACAATGGTCCACATTAGTGCGTTTGGAGAGTGAGGTACCATGACTTCTAGAAGCCAGCAGGCACTTGCCCTGTCTGGTTACTAAAGGTTGAGACTGTTACACAGTGTGAGGTCAATACGAGCCTTGTTTAAATCTCTGGCTTCTCGCTCTTCATCTGCAGGATACAGAAAGACCTTCACTGCCGCTCCTGGGAGTGCTGGCTCACACGCGACAGAGGGCATTACTTTCCTCAACCTTGGTGGGTGTCCTGGTTTGCTTTTCTCTTTCTGCGGTAAACATGACCGAAAGCAACTTGGGGGGAAAGACTATTTTAGCTTAAACTCCCAGGTAATAGTCTATCATCACCGAGGACGGAAGCAGCATAAGCCTCCTGTTCCCAGGCTGGAGTTCAGAAATCAGAAAGGTGCGCTGAGAAACGAAAGTCAGGTAATGGGAAGGACTGGCTCCTTCCGCAGAGTCCAAGGAGAAAATCACATCCTCCTCGTCCGGCATCTAGTTTCTCTCCCTTTGTTTTGGAGCTGTGCGGTCACTTTCGGCAGGCAAACTCCTCTCTCCCTCCTCTGAACAACATTTTGACCACACCGAGTTGCTGGGGTAATCCAGGATTATTTCCTCATCTCAGGGTCCCAATCACGTGTGCACCAGCCGCCGGTCATCAGAAAGTTGATCTCGGGCAGGTAGGATAGCCTGAAGCGCAAGGGCTCTTGATCTTGACCCAAGTTCAATCCCAGGATGGAAGACTCCTGCAAGTTGTTCTCAATATGAAAACCCCCAAACAAATAAAAAAAAAACTGTGGTAAAAGTGTTATAATGGACACAGTTACTGGCTCCACAGATCAGTGCACAAGCAAGAGCCATCATTGGCCCCGTCAGGTAGCTACAGATATTTTGGGTGAAGCACTAACATTTTATGGCAGATTGTCCTGCACACTGAGGGCTGGAAAACACCTAGAACCCACTAAGAAATGTTAGTAGGAATCTCACACCTTATCCCAATGATCGTGTGCTCCTACTACACCTTATTGTATTTTCTTTTTCTTTTTTATATTTATTTATTTATTATGTATACAATATTCTGTCTGTGTGTATGCCTGCAGGCCAGAAGAAGGCACCAGACCTCATTACAGATGGCTGTGTGCCACCATGTGGTTGCTGGGAATTGAACTCAGGACCTTTGGAAGAGCAGGCCATGCTCTTAACCACTGAGCCATCTCTCTAGCCCCCCACCTTACTGTATTTTCAAATGTCCTCTTGCCTGGGACATAGCACCACCATGACACACCGGCTAAGCAGTCGTGTATAGAGCTAACACAGATCACTGGATCCCCTTTCTACCAGGTCCGTCTAAACAGTTTCTCTCATTTGCTACAATAGGATTGCCACAATGTTAAGTGCTTTGCAATTCTTTACTGTTACTTTGTTCCTGTCTTCTGAAAGGATACTTAATATCCCTCCACCCATCCCTTCCTATGGGTGCTTCCACAGAAGAGATTAGCTCGTACCCCATAGAGGAGGGAGACCAGCTAGCTGACAGAACACAGAAGTTTCTTCTATGAAATTCACTACTCTGTGTTTCTGAGACCCTAGGAGCCTGTTTTTATACTGTGTGTCAGTTTAGGTACACATGTTCACAATCATGTGCAAAGATCTGTGGTATAGGGACTGGGAAGGGGCCAACTCTAGGAGCTAGGTTTACAGGAAAGGCAAAGGCACAGAGTGCCAAGGGTCCCAGAGAGGCGCTCTCGATAAATACCAATCTTTAAATTTCTTAAACAAAATGATGACGTGAGACGATGAAGACAATCCCATCGCAAGCTGTTCCTAGCACACCACGTTAAAGAGTCAGGCCTGTTGCTTGATATTTTCCACTCTAATTCCTTTCCAGTTCACTTAGAGTCACAGAAAGCTACAGTTGACTCAGAAACAAAACTATAGGCATGAACAATACAACCAGGAGTCAGCGTACAAAGAGACACACAAAGTCAGTCAGATCTGCCTACTCAGGGGACGATACTTGTGTCAATCCGATCATTTGCTACTGGTAATAAACAAATAAATAATAATAAATAAATAATAAGTCCCGTTTTGCTGCTGCGTTCAGAGTAAAGCGGGGTCCCGGGTTTATCTGCACCTAGATAGACTGTCACAGGTGGATGACTCCGGTCTCTCTTTCCTGTAGGCTGCCTTGTAGCTGTTCATTTCCCTGGTCATTTCCTCCACTTACTTAACGTTCAGCACCCAGACTTCACCTGCCACAGTCTGTTTCTGACAGGTATGCTGCCTCCCGCGGTCTCCTCAGGGTTGTTCTGACTTCAACAGAAGTCTGGGTCAGAGAGGGTCTCTTATTCCATGACCTGCTTTGGTTGTTCATGTTGCTAGGAAACAGCGACATGGCTGCCGTGCTACCTCCCGGTCCCTTGCGGTTTCTGCCGGGGTCCCTGGTTCTGGACTGCTCCTCCGGGAAGGTCTACAGAGCAGCCCTGGACCAGTCGTTCTTGATGTGGTTCCTATGGAACTCCGCCCACCTAGACTGCGAGAAGATGGCCGCATTGCACTGCGCGCTCTCCTGTGCCCAAGACCCAGGTTTCCAGGACGATCAGGTGAGACGCTAGCACGGGCTCACACACTGGCGGCGGACAACACTAAATGTACTTACTTGCTGCTTCAAGACGGTCAGCAGTTGCGTTTGCTCAGCAGCAGTGTCTTTCCTTGGACGTGCTCCTCCTTGGTGCTGCATTTCTGGTGGTTTCTCTGCCAGACCAAGGGCCGGGAAGGTGCATCTATCGGGCCGGGAAGGTGCATCTACCCGGCCGGGAAGGTGCGCCTATCAGGTTGCTGAGTGCAATTGTTCCCTTCATCTGTCATTTCACGGTCCATGACTTCCATTAACTTACATCAACTTGGACTTAATCAATGAGAAATCCCCTAAAGAAGCAATTCGCATGTTTTCCGAGGTGTGCTCTTCAGGATAACGTGATGCGACCTTGTGCCGTCCTGCTCCACCTGCTCTGAAATTGTGAATTGTCTCTGTGTCCAGTGTATTCGTGTTGCATTTGCTACCTGCCCGTTCATGGTGTAGCGGTTGTCTTGGTTACTGGCACACTTTCCTAGAATTATGGTGCCTGTGTTCCCTTACTCATATTTTACCTAATAATGGCCATGGCGTTGAGATATGCCAAAGGATCACCATACAGTGTTTCCTTTCAATGAGAACTTGAAAGTTCTTGACTTAATGAGTAAATAAATAATGCCTGTCAGTGTTGCTAAGGCTTGGTGCCATCTCTGGTTTCCGAATTCACAGGTGTGAATTTATCTTGAAGATAAAGGACAAAACTTACTCTCTTTTCTTTCTTCCTTTACCTGCTTTTCTGAGGTGAGGTTTTGCTCTGTAGCCCGGGGCAGTCTGGTACCCACTCTGTGGCCCAAGCTGGCTCCACATTTGCAGAAGTTCTTATAGGCCTCCCAAGTGCTGGGATGTCAGGTGTGAGTCCCTAACCCAGCCCTCAGCTGGCTTTTCTCTACTGTAAACCCGGCTCCCTCCAAAGATACACAGGAAACAGTGAGTTTTTCAGGCTACCTGTTTTTCTGTTCGTGTCTGTGTTTGGTACAATACATTACCAAGAGGGCCAAGTAAGCTGGATGTAGTGCCTCACACCTGCAATCCCAAGTGCTGAGACAAGATTATTGCTGTGAGTCCAAGGCCAGCCTGGGCTACACAGTAAGTTTGATGTCATCTTAGACGGCAGAATAAATTCCTGTCACAAACAAAAGAACACCGAAGGTTTAAGCTCTGTGGCAAGTATTTATAATTTTTAATAAAACAGCTTAGTCTGTCTTGTACACTGCTGCATTGGAAGCATTCTCATCTACTCGGTTATTTACCTTTTGAAGCTATCCTGAAAGGTCAGCAAAACCCTGCTGTCAATCAGCGATGGATGCCGTCAGAGGCTGAGTGGTTAGCTGAAAAAAAGCATATTTAAAAAAACAAAGCATAAAGAGGCTGGAGAGATGGCTTAGAGGTTAAGAGCATTTCCTGCTCTTCCAAAGGTCCTGAGTTCAGCTACCAGCAACCACATGGTGGCTCACAACCATCTGTAATGAGGTCTAGTGCCCTTTTCTGGCCTGCAGGCATACACACAGACAGGATATTGTATACATTAAATAAATAAATGAATATTTTTAAAAAAGCATAAAAATACACATTCATCTGCTTCCCTTTGGTGCAGGCCAAGGCCTGTTCTTTGTGAATTAGCAAACTAAAACGTCAGTCATTTCCTCCAGCCCTAACATGCTATATCTGATTTTCTGGTCCTTCCTAAAAGGCTTGTGTATGTATGTGGATGCATCTTCACGTGCTTCACGTGTTTTGTGTGTATAGACACACGTGTGCACACGCACACCTATGTGCATGTGTGTGGAAGTCCAGAAGCCACACTGTATGTGTTTTCAGCCATTCTCTACATCCATTCCCGACACAGGGTCTCTCTAAACCTGGAGCTTCCCTTTTCTGCAGGCTGGATTCTCGTGGACCTACCCCAGCCCTGGGGTAGACATGCGCTGCATCCCCGTTTTTATGTGGGTTCTAGAAACCAGATCCCATGCTTGTGTGGCAGCCACTTTAGCCACCGAGCCATCGCCTCGAAAAAAAAAAAAAAACCCTACAAAGTTATTTCGAAGATGATCAATGACTTAGAGGCCTTTCCCAAGTGCAGGCGTGCGTCTGCCCAATTTTAACCCTTGTTTACATCTAGTCATTTAGTGTTTTAGAATCTACGGCTAGTCTTACGTTTGAGAAGCATGCTTTTGAGCCTTCCCACGATATACAACTTTTATTGATGCAACGATACTCTTTTTGTATCTGCATTTCACTCATTTATAGAAATTTGTATTAAATTGCCTATGTAAAAATAAGAACAACGGGCACAGTAGATTTAGGATATCTGTTGTGAAGGTACGGCTGGGCGCGCCGTACCTGTTGAGCAGGAGAGGAGAGTTCCCTTCCTCCAGCAGCTGGACGTAGGGGTAGAAACTGGGTGAGTTGCTGACATGGGGTTTAGAGGTGTCCGCTGCCGGGGATGAACAGGCGCTCCTCGTGGGGAAGTGTGGCAATGCTCACAGTGGTAGCTGCAGGGAACTTACACCCAGTGGTTTTGCTGTGCATTGCCACCTGTGCCCAGGAGCTTTCTTGATGGGCACTTTTTATAACACCATCAATTCTTAAAACAAAACACACAATGGATTGAAGAAAGTTTATCTGGAGCCTACCGAGAGGCCTCTGTTAAAAGGATATGTTAAAAGCAGTATTTACAATACTGATATGCTCAGCCAGGGCTATCTTGGCTTTTAAGCTGGAAGCGGGTATATTTTTCAAGTCATTTCAAAATAGATGTGAAATTTAAAAATTCATTCATATATGTATTTTTTTATTATGCATTTTTATATAACGCCTTGGTGGGACTGAGTGCAGATTTAAAAGCCAACAGGGCTCTGTGGTCTTTCTTTTTAAAGATTATTCAGTGGATTTGTGAGCACGTCTCTGCCTGTCATTCATTTGACCTCATCCAGGAATTTCTAATCGGTAAGTGTTGCTGATGTTGCGCTGTGAGCTGTGTTTGGCCCTTTTGTTTGAGGGAGATCAGGAAACTGATACCGAATGCCTCTGTTTAGGCTTCTTGGGAGCATCAGTTTTGTTTTTTAACTTGATTGCCATCAGTGGCTAATTAAATTTCATCCTCTTGTGGTTTTTGTAAGATACTGTGGTTCTCAGAGACTGATAAGAGAGATATAAGATCAGATTTTGATTCTTTAACCTCATTACCAAAATTTTCAGTCAAATGCATCTTTCCGAGCCTAGTTTTATGTTCGTCGGCTATATGTAAGTGGTATAGCGTTATCCGGGATGAAGCAGTATCAAAGGGATTTTTAAAAATATCCTCATTGTAAAAAGGAGAACCTGAACATTTTAAGTCGTAGATAAAATCATGGTGGTTACTCCCAGAGGCATGAGCGAGGCGATGAAAACTTATTGGCTTACTTGATTTGGTTAAATTACAACGTTGATTTCTCTGTTCTTACCACGTGATGTGTCTTTTAAAAACCGACTCAGCTTCTTCCTACTGGAGCGTGTATCCGGATCTGGCTGGCGTGGACAGGCTCCTACCTTACTCCTCTGTGCTGACGTGGAAGACAGTAAGTTAGCTGAGTCCCAGTGGCCTCAGCACTGTGGGCCAGTGGTAGACAATTCCCGTTATGGAAACCAGTGCCATGATTTCACTTCTGTCTTGACTGATAAGGAACTGAGTTGAAGTTTCCTGACAGAATGTATAAACATCCCTAATCAGAAAATCTAAAATCTAAACGTTGCAAAATCTAGAACATTTTGAGGGTCAATACGATGCCAAATGTGAAAAATTTTACCACATAGCCTATATGTATATGTATGTATGGTTTTGTCCATAGGTACACGATATATTCCATATAGTAAAATCCTACCCGCTATACATGCATACATGCGTGCATGCATATGTCCGCGCCTATTCTGAAATGCAGCGGACCTCTGCCATTGCTGGGAGTGTTTGATAGACTTGATGGAGCAGACACAAGGTGTCTGTGTCCCTCTTTCAACTGCCAGGCCGAGCTAAGCCTCAGTGGTCGTATTTTCTAAAATGACATGTTTACTCCTGTGTTGACTAAAGTGTGCGGTCGGTTTTTATGAACGAGGAGTGGTTAGGCCGCTGTGGTCATACTCGGCAGACCGTGACTTTTATGACTCCGTTCCCTGTTTTTGTAAGGATTTATAAAGAAACGGAGGTACTAAAAGCTTCCAGCTGAGTCAGTCAGCAATCTTCAGCTTGCTTCTTTCCCCTGATCTTCTTCCTGTCAGTCGGGGCTCCTTTACAGCAGGAGGTTGGCTGGTGCGGCCAGCCGCTTCTCCTTGGCCCCTCTCAGCTCCGTAGTGGAACACCGTGCTTGGTCCTGAAGCAGGAGTTGTATTGAAAAGGGAATTTAGAGCAATAAATTTAATTTAGGGGACTATGTGCTAGGATAAATTGTGACATTTTTCATTTTGTGTTTTGTCTATGTAGCGGTACAGTCAGTAGAGGCATAGCCTGCTGTGTAGCACACGCGTGTAATTCTACACTCGTGAGAGCTAGGCGGGAAGATCCTGAGTTAGAGGTTGTCCTTGGCTATGTAGAAGTGATACCCTGTCTAGAGGGAAAAAAAGAAGGGCTGGAGAGATGGCTCACTGGTTAAGAGTACTGTCTGCTCTTCCAAAGGTCCTGAGTTCAATTCCCAGCAACCACATGGTGGCTCAGTCATCTGTAAATGAGGTCTGGTGCCCTCTTCTGACATTCAGGCATACACGCAGACAGAACATTGTATATATAATAAATAAATAAATATTAAAAAAAAGAAAGAAAAAAGAAATATCTAAATGCATTTGATTTATTTATTTATTTTTCTCTTTTCTCTTCTTTTTGTCTTGAGACATGGACTCGTGTGGCCCAGCCTGGCCGGCCTCAAGGCCTGTGGGGCGGAGGACACCTTTAAATTTCTGATCCTCCTGCCTGTCCTCCCAAGTGCATGCGCTGCCATATCGTACAGTGATGCTCGATTCGTTTCTAATATTTGATGCTTACAACAGTAGGCTGTTTGTTTTGTTCTGTTTTGCTTTGTTCTTCCACCTGAAGGCCCTTCTCTGCTTGTCTTTTGGGCTGTAGTTAGTAGATTCCTTTGCTTCGGTGTAAAATCGTAAGAGGAAAGACCTGGGCTTCTCCTTTAATGGGCACCCACGCGGTTGTTTTTCCTTTAGATGACTTGCGAGTGAATAGGCCCACTCTGTGGTCGTGTGGCAGGAAGTCTGCAGGTTACACCATCGGGTCAGGAAATGCACAGCTCAGTCCTCTGTGCTTCTTAACCATGGCTTTTTGTCTGAAGAGTAGAGAGGCAGGGTCGGAACCAGTGGTCCCTGGGCTGTGTTCGAGCTGGGGGTTTTGCAAAGCCACCATCCCGATGGGTAGCAGAAATTTGTTCATTTCTCGGGGCTCTCTGTGGCACAGGCTACTTGGTGAACACACACACAGTAACATCTGAGTGCCCCATAAGAAAATGCAGAGAAACCCACAGTTATAACCTCTACACACCAGACTTATCTTGGGGTTTACCAAGTTGCTTTAAAACGTCTTGTGGTTAGAATAAGTTACCTTAAAAGGCCTCCTTTAATCCCAAAGCTCTATGCATTTATATTTATCTTTAGCAATGATGTAAGCTTTACCTTTCCCTTCCCTAGTCTATAATCATCCCTAATGCTACAACTTAAAAACTTGCCACAGTAGGAAATAGCAAGTTCACATATCTGGGCTGAAAGATTGACTTGGATTTTTTTTTTTTAACTTGAAAGAAAGAATTCATCATGTACCTCAGGTTAGTCTAGGAGCCTCTCACTGAGACTAAAAATGTACAATACCATACCTACTAACAACTGGATTTTAAAAAATATTATAAACACTATTATAAGAGCACAATTATAAAAAAGAATTTGGAAAAAAGAAACAAACAAAAAACCCCCACTCACTCAATTTAACCAGATCCAAAGTCTATACATTTTAATGGACTTCTATATAGTTAAGTAAGATACTAGAAATTAGAATGTTCTTGCCTATTGCTAATTCTAAAGCATGTTGTAATTATAGTTATTTTAAAATGTTATAATTATGCCTTTTAAAATGTTATTTAGACTTACATAGGTTGCTTTTAATGTCACTATAACAAAATAATGCCACAAGAAGCAACTGACTTAAGGGAGCAGGATTTTCCATCCAGTTTGGGGGGGTACGATCCTTCAATTTTAGGGGTTACAGTTCTCCAGTTTTAGGGGATACAGTCCTTCAGTTTTAGGGGATGCAATCTTTCAGTTTTAGGGGATACAACCCTTCAGTTTTAGGGAATACAATCCTTCAGTTTTAGGGACACAGTCCTTCAGTTTGGGGAGATAGAGTCCTTCAGTTTGGGGGGATATAGTCCTTCAGTTTGGGGGGATACAGTCCTTCAGTTTGGGGGGATAGAGTCCTTCATGGTGGAGAAAGCATGCTGGCAGCAGCTGGTCATACCGCCCCACAGCCGAGAGTTAGAGAAGAAGGAACACTCCTGCCCCACTGGCTTTACCCCCAGTACGCAGTTCAGGACTCACAAGGAAGGGTGACCCACCCCAACCCCCTAATTTAGATAATTCCTCACAGCTGTATCCAGAGGCCTGCCTCTGGTCATCTTAGATGCTGCTCAGCTGAGAGCCAGCATCAACCACCACAGACCCTACAGACACAGCACCGTTTTGGTGTCTGTGTGTGTGGCTGAGTGGTGATGAATGAAGTTCATGTGATTTTTAACGCAGACGTTCTGAGCTCCTGTGGGGAACTCAAGGGCTCAGATGTTCTGAAAGTTCACCCCTGCCTCACAGATGACCGTCCTTCCGTAGGAGTAGTGTGTCCGTAAGATCCAGTCACTCAGACTCCAATTGGACATTTTTACAAAGCAATCCTAGGCTGTTTTCTGGTGTCAGCTACATTTGGAAGGAAATCCGAACTGGCAGAAGGGCAGGCTACATAGTTAGCATACAGATACATTTTCCATAGTATCCATGAGGTCAGGACAATTTGGGAAGTTTTATCCTTTTAAATACGCCCCCCACTTTTTAATGTAAAGGATTTCATTTAGCCAAGGCTGGCCTCAGACTTACTACGGAGCTGAGGATGGTCTTGAACTTCTGATCCTCCAGCCTCTCTGTCCCTTGCCTGGGATTAGACATTCAACAACCACTAGCTCATTAAGGTTGATCTAGTGCTCACTGTTAGCAGAATGCCGTGCTGGGCTTTCCTAGCATGAACTGAGCATGTCTTAGCTCAGCTGTTGGCCTGTGCAAAAGTCTTTATGGGGCACTCCTGTCCTGTGATCATGGTGGACCTCAGTGTGTGAGAACCCCACCGATTTTGGTACCCTCTAGAGAGGAAAAGACCAGCTAGCGCTACAGATAAGTAAGTGAAAGGCGGAGGACAGGGAGAAAGGTGTACAGATGATTTGATGGTTTCATCAAATTATGACTTTAACAGTTCAAACGTATTTTGCCTCATTGTTAGGTAGAAATGTGTTAAAACGCAGTATTTGTTCTGCATTTCCTCCCAACAATCTTTCCTCCCTCAGCTATTATTTAAAGCACTTTTCCTTTTCCAAGGCAAGTGACGACACTGTGTCCTGTTATTTTTACACTGGGACGTTATTTAAAGTAGAGGTTATCACACAGGAAGCTGGCTATCCTTAGCGCCTGTCTGTGCAGAAGGCACTTCCTGAGGAGGCCGGAGGGTGGGGTGTTTGATATGTTGTGTGTGGCCTCTCCTAGGAAGAGCGTGGGATGGTGGATATGTTGTGTATGCTCCCCCCCATAGGAAAGCGTGTGGTGTTTGATATGCTGCTTTATCTCCTCCCCCCAGGAAATTCCTGGATTAATGCTTGTGACAGAAGAGCTCCCGTTGCCTCTTATGAAGGTAAGTGGCTTGCAAAGAGGGTGAAAGCTCATGCCTGAGGAGATCTCTGCTGCCGGTACCACTGTGGTTCCCAAAAGAACTGCAGCCTGCTGGAGACCAGTGCAGCCCAAAGCAGGGCGGGCTCTCTGGAGACTGGAGTCTTGCTCATAGAGTGTATCAGGTCTTAGGGCTGCTGTTTGAAGAGCGAGGGTGAGGCTTTCTGAAGCTTGGAGAGAGTTACGGAGCTCAGCTTGAAACTTGGATCGCCAATACTTGCCACAAGGGTTTATTTCTTATTGAAGGAGCTCTTGTAACTTCCCTTTGGAGGCTGGAAGCTGTGTTTGATTTGTAGTTCCTCCTTCCAATGTGCTCACGTGCACGCACTCACACACACACACACACACACACACACACACACACACACACACACACAGGGTTGGGACTATCTCATTTCCTGGTACCTCAAAGAACAGCCCTTCCATCCCTCAAAGGTGACTGGCAGTGGCTTGCTGTTTGGCCTTCCTCAAGCTCTTTCCTGTGCACCAAGCTCTGGGGCTTAGTGTCTTTCTGCAAACGGCTGGTTTCTGAGTCCAATAGGAAGGACGGGGTGGGGTAAGGTGAGGAGAAAATAATACATACATAGTTAAAACTGTTGCAGGGCAGGGGTGTCTTTAGCACCGTCTCCCTACAGCTCTGTTGTTGCTTTTGGCATTGCCTCTTGTGATTACAGCTGGCCTAGGCTGGGGAATCTCAGCTTCTGGCAGCAGCGTCTACTTCTTGTGCTGAGGTCTTTTATTTACATTTGATTCTTCGGGCCCTTGCGGCTCAACAGCTGGGGAGGCACAGCGTTAAGATGGAGTCTGGCTTGCTGGTTCTATAGCTTTTGGTTCTCAGAGGCCCTTGAAGACAGACTGGGCAGCCATCTCCAGAAGCAAGCATGGAGCCATTGTGAAACCCTCCTGATGTAGGAAGATGAGAGGAAAAGTCATGTTTCCGAGGCAGCCACAGGGCACGTTCTGTGTCTTAGCATTTCATGGTTTGTGTCTTTACTGGTGGTTCTACCAAACCCATAACGTACACAACAGACAAACCTGTGAAGGGGTTGTTTTCTTTGTTCTGTTTTCGTGCTGGGCTTGAACTTGGGTCCTTCAGGGGCTGGACAGCTACCCTACACTCCTGCTGTTCTCTTGATCTCTGGTGTAGCTGGGATTCCAGGTATATGATAATGCCATGACTAGCCAGAAGAAAATGTTCAGAAGAGATATAATCCATAGTTAAATAGCTTCTAGGGTAGCAATTGCTACCTTCCACTTCCTCTTTGTCTCTGCCATAGGTGTGTGTATGTGACTTAGTAGTCATGGTGATCTAGGGACAGTTGATCAAATATGAATTCATATCATAGAAAGCAATGATTGGTAATGATTCCCCTGAGTTGGCATGTCTGAATTTATTTAATCAGTCTTCTTCGGCCTGTTTAATTATCTTGACACGATACCCACATTTTCTAGGGAAACAACTCAGTGGGAAGGGAAGGCCTGGCATGTGTGAGGCCTTGGCTTTGATCTCTTGTACTACATTTGTTTCTTTTATCCAATTGAAGATAATATTTCCATTTTATATGTTATGTATTCTTATACATGCAGTTTTTCTTTGGGTTTACTCCCCTAAGGTCAGAAGTTAAGAATGTTTTATGGTAAGACACTGTGGCTTTTTTCCGTAGCTTTTATTTTTTCTTACTAAACTAATATTCCACAAAAGTTGAGTTAATTTACACAGTCAAAGACCTTTAGGGGACCGAAGAAATGAATCCTAGGTTCAGAGCACTTGCTGCTCTTCCAAGAACGCATTGGATTCTCCACAGCAAGTGGTTCACAATGACCTTGCCTCTGACTCCAGCCCCAGGGGATCTAGCGCCCTCTGGCCTCTTTTGGCGCCTACACACACATGGCATACACAGAGAGAACTGTGTATACACATCCATAAATCTAAGACCAAAAGGACTTAGGAGTTTATTGGCTTTATTATAACCTTATCAACGTTGTGTGCTTTTAAAAGCAAGTATAAGGGAGCGATGAGAAGGCCTTTTGTCTTTTTCCTCATTGGCTTATTGTAGGCAATTAATTCTGTCTCACAGTGTTCTTGCTGTATTATAGGAAGGGTACTCTGATCACACTTCCTCTTTCCTAGGATAGATAAGGGGCAGAAGGAGATGAGACCATCCCCTCCTGCTCGGTGTGAGCGTTTAATCTAGTGCTGTAATCCAGCTGCATCACCTCAGATTTGCATGTTGCTTTGCCATTGCTGCTCCTGCAGAGGACCTAGGTTCAGTCCCAGCTGGGTGGCAGCTCACAACCATCAGTCACTGCAGTTCTAAGGGTCTGGCATCTTCCGGTCTCTAGGGGCAGCAGGCATGCTCAGAGTGCATGTATACCTATGTGCATATAGGTAAGCATTCATATGTTGGGGGCTGTGGACCCCCAGACCCTGAATTTCTTGTAAACAACTCATTTTCCTCTGCTCTGAGCACGAGACCCTGATGGCAGGGGAGTGGGTTCTGGTGAGTCTGCAGCTGAAAGATTCCGAGAGCTGGGGCGTGGACAGAGCCCTGTAGAAGCTGTCCCTGAGCACAGTGAAGTGGGCATTATTGTCTCAAGGATGACCATATCCCGTATTTCTGTCTGTCTGTGTGTGCGTGTGTTTCTTAGTCTCCAGCCCAGTTCCCGGCTCATGTACTGCCCCATAGTGCGAGCGCTATATTCATATACATTTTTAAAATCTTAAAAGCTCTAGGTTTGTTTTTTTTTTTTAAAGTCAGCATATGGGAACAAGGCCCATGCATTAAAGCAACGTTGCCAAAGGAACCTTCCTAAGAATGGCCTTGATCCTTGGTAAACGGTGTGTTGGTCTGGGGAAGCAGCAACTTGTGTAAAAGGTGTAAAATTGCGCCTGATTTTATAGTGAGAAGAGAAACCATCAGGCTATTTAACCACAGGAAGCCAGAGAGGGAACTACAGCTGTACAGATGTGAGGGGGAAGAGGGTGAGCATGCTTCAAGTAGAGGAGACAGGTGTCTTCTCCAAAAGAAGGCTTAAAATCAGACCTTCCTTCCTTCCTCCCTCTGTCCCTCCCTTCCTTCCTTCTTCCTCCCTCCCTCTGTCCCTCTCTCCCTTCCTTTCTTCCTTCCTCCTCCCTCCCTCCCTCCCTCCCTCCCTCCCTTCCTCCCTCCCTCGCTTTCCTTCCTTCTTTCCTTCCTTTCTCCCTCCCTCGCTTCCTTCTTTTCCTTCCTATCTTTCTCCCTCCCTCGCTTCCTTCCTTTCTTCCTTCCTCCCTCCCTCCCTTGCTTTCCTTCCTTTCTCTCTCCCTTGCTTCCTTCCTTCCTTCCTTTCTCCTCCTTCACTTCCGTCCTTTCTTCCTTCCTAACTCCCTTCCTAACTCTCTCTTTCCCCCCTCCCTCCCTCCCCCCTCCCTCCCTCCCTCCCTCCGTCCTTTCCTCTCTCTCTCTCTCCCTTGCTTTCTTCCTTCCTCATTCCTCTCTCCCTTCCTCCCCTCCTTTGCTTCCTTTCTTCCTCCCTCACTTCCTCCTTCCCTCCCTCCCTCCCTCCCTCCCTCTCTCCCTCCTTTCCTTCCTACTAATGTTGTCTGTCTTCCTTTTTGAGACAGACTCTTGTTCTGTAACATATGCTTACCTTGTTCTTCCTCAGTCTCCCAGGCGCTGAGATTCCAAGTAGGCGCCATATCCGTGGCTCAGAACCAGACTCTTTAGTGTATGTAATCATCTGTTAGGCCATTACTGAGTGGCTGAACCAGGAAGGCCGGAAAGACCTGAAACCCACCTGCTCACAGCCTCTGACTTGTGTGCTGTGGGTTTCCCAGGACGCAGGTCTCCTGGGCGTCTGGGAGCCTGTGTTTGCTTCTTGGGCTCTTCTCCATCCAGACTTTGCTTACAGCTTCCCCAGTCAAAGTGGTTTAAAGCTACTTGAACTAGACAGAGCAAGGGAAGAATTTGCTACTTATTGAAGCATAAAATACACTAATTTTCCTTAGAGCCCCCAGTGCAGACAGGTGACATCGTTTGGGGAAAAGATTTGCTAGCGATCTGAAATATTAGCATAATCACAACGTACCAGCTCTCTAGACCCGCTGTTTTGGCAGAAATAAAGCACGGTCTGCTGGTTCTCGGGGAAATTCTGATTTTCCAAAGTTTGGAGCGCATGTGTTTCTGGGGAGAGTGAGCTACAGTGAGTTCAATTAATATTGTGAGCATGCCTGTATGATACCACAAGGCAGCATCAATGACCAGTCACAGAGCTTCAGCTAGTGAGCTGGTTCTTCTTGTGCTTTTGTGGAGATGGGATCACCTGCCTCCCAGCTATAAAAGAGAGCCAGACCCAAGCCTGAAGATTATTATTTCTGTTCCTTTTTTAAAAATTGTTTTTATAGAGCTATATATTTTTCTCCACTCTCCTTTGTTCCTCCCCTCTTCTGTTCCTTCCTTACCAGCCACTCTGGGTTGGGCTTCTCTTCTCTGTACTTCTGCTTAGAGATATAATATTCAATTTCTAAGACTGCGAGGAGGGAAATACCTTACTCGACACTGGCTTTCCACAGGCATATACTCCAAATGGGAGATATGCCGGTTACATTTAAAATAGTCCAGCCTACTAAAAACAACACAAAGCGGCTGATAAAACCCCGGAATGGGTCAGGGAAGTGGAATTTTTGCCTGATGCCGGAGCAGGAGGCTACTGCTTGTGGCTGTCTTAGTGGTCACCCTCAGGAGTTCAGGTCTGTTGTCACATGTCAACACTACTGCATCGTCTCCATGCTAGAGACAGTACCTTGCTGTATTTCTCTGCACAGCTGGTACCGAGATGAGATGCCCTGCAGATCCATGAAGACCCGGGCCAGCTCTTGGTACACAGAGTAAAGGGTTCTCCCGGGGGGCACCTCCTCCCCCAAGAAGATGCTGATGAACCACAGCCAGAGGGTCTTTCAGAAATGAGAGGTGGATGTTTGCTCCC